CCGAATGGATGCTTAGTGGATGGAGTTTTAGTCCATTATATTATTTCTTATATGTGAAATTCAATCACAATGCAAATCCTTATGTCATTAGTTATCCGTTATCCGATATCTAGCAATATCATATTTTCCAAGATTTTGTCGACTACACTTTGTTGTTCACATCATCATATATAGAGATGTAATGGAATAACCATTTTAAAGTGTGCTCTCTCTCCCTCTCTGCATGGTTTTCTATTCATTCTAAAGATTTTTTTAATATTGAAATCCGGTCTCAGACAACAATATGATGAAGATGAACAATAACAAATTTTTCATTTGTTTTTGACACCATAAAATCAATCAATTTGGATTTCGTTTATACGATCACCAATAATAACAATCCATTGTATTTTAATAATTGTTAATTGTTAAAGATGATGATGATAGTTAAACTAGTCATAAGCAGCTTGTTACACTGCTGTAATTGTTTTGATCACTTTTTGTCCGCAATCAAAATGATTAAAATAGATTATTCTCATTATATGAAATGATAATTTAACTAGATGAAATATGATGATGATACATTTGCGAAAGAGAAAAAAGGATTATCCTTCATGTGATGAAAGATTTTTCTCCATTTATTGTTGAGCAAAATGCGGACATGACATGTACATTTTTTAGTTCATAATTTGAATTTTCCATATATATCTCATTTGTATACAAAAAAAACATCGATGGCGATATGCGAAAATGATGATTATTTTCTTTCCTTTTTTCGATAGTGTAAATTGTTCTATTGTTCTTCACACACACACACACACAGAATGCAGAAACAGGTGTTGATTGCCTACCTACCTGGATGTAAGATTTTTATTTGATTCAGCTTTGATCGTACTTTAAATTCATCATCATTATGTTATTGGTAACCTGTTTTTTCGTTGTTTTACATATCTTTTGATCTTTTGATCTTTCTTGAAACAAAACAAAAAATTCTAAAGCGAACGATATTTCGATATTGATCAACTGATGAAAGACATGAGATATGTAGACTTTGATTATAGTCATTGAATTGAGAAGTGACCGGCTGACTGACATTGGAATATTGATTTTTCGTCAAAAGCTTCCTGTTGAATTTATCATATTTAAAATGACGATCAATATATGATGTATGTATCTGGTTCGATCATTGGTGAATTTGGCTGCTTAAAAACATTTATTCATTATTCATTCATTCTTAAATAATAACCTATTGATTTGATTTGATGTGTGATATGTGTGTGTGTGTGTGTGTTTGAAATGATGTTTCACCGTGTTTTTGTCGGTGATGTTGTCCAGTCATTTCATTCAACTTAACCCAATATTATTTTACCCCAAAAAACAGAAAAACAACAGCAACGATGATGTTTTTTTTTATTGATTGAACACTGTAAATAACAATAAGAAATCATCATTGTTAAAGAAATGACGATGATGATCAGCATCATCGATTTGCTCCAATTTTGATCAATCGATTTTTGTTGTAGAATCGAGCCACTTTTCTGTCGTTTTTTCTTATTTTTATTTTTTCCTTTTTTGTCTGAATAATTTTCTCCAATCATCCAATGATCACAACAGATTTGATGAATTTAAAATTGGATAATCTTGAGTTGTTCAAGGTCTTTTTCGCTTTTTTTTTTGCTTGAAGAAAAACCAAATTCAAGATCCTCACCATCATTATTATTATTGTCACATTAACCGACATTAACCATGAACTATTTTGGTAGAAGCGGTCATCAAACAGCCAGAAGAAAAACATTATCATGATGATAATGATGATTAGATGCATTTCTGATGTCGGTTGTGAATCTTTTCGTTTCTTTTTTTTTATTTCACCGGTCACACACACACGCAAGCACACACGAACATCGTTGAAAACCACAGCTGTAGCTTTAGATTTATTGTCATAATATATGTTTTTCCTTCCCCCTTTCGTTTCTAAACAACATTTTGGATGTAAACAAATCCTAGAAAAAAATAAAAACGATTTTTAATTCCCATTCATCCATTGTAATTGTTTCGTTTATGTATGTGAACATCATTGGGTTGTCTGACATAATTTTTCCTCCTTTCTTTCCATTATTTGTTCTAGATTCTGTAATCGTTTGCGTAATTGCATTTTTCTTTGATTATATTGAGGGTTATGTTGCAACGAAATGTTTGTTTAAAATGACAATTAAATCCATCCACATCCAATTAAGTTTATCATTGTGTGTTGCACTCATATTATTATATCAAGGTAGAATATGTAAAGGTTTTGAGCTGTTTCCAGAATATCATGTTTTTTTTCTATTTTCGATATGAATAAATGGCAAACACATACCCTACACATACCAATAAGCAATTATTGCTAAGACACAAGTCACATTGAACAGAGAAAATGTTCATTTTTCACCATGTTTTTTTCTGGTTGACTTGTGTTCATTTTTTTTTCTTTCTTTGACATAAATCTGTTCATTCATCCCACTGTCGTATGACAACAACGTTCATGTGCATGTTACATATGATTTATGATAAATTATGTTTAATCATCATTCAATTCAATGTCGGATCATGTTAGATAAATTAATTTTTTGTTATTTTTGCAGAAAAAATGCTGTATAAATATAAGCAGTCAACATTAAGAAGATAATGTTTTTGTCCCCATCTCTTGATTATACAATTCTTAATGTTGACCATTTTTCGAATGTGTCTGTGTATATTTTTTTTTTTTTTTTTTTGCTAACTTTGGCGCAAAGGGTTCAAAAAAATCATAACCATAATCGTTATAAGTATTGAAAGACAGTCATCATTGTTTAAATGTAATAACTTTACTTTATTTGACCAAAATGAATTTGATTTTAATCACGAAAATCATTTTTTCTTTGTTTTTGGGTTATTATGCTTATAACACCTGTGATAAGTGTTTGCTATATAGTATATAGTAATTATAATTATAATAATTCCAACAATTTATCAACTTCATGTAATGAATAAGTTTTTCTCTCGGGAAGATTCTTTACATGAGATAGATGTCAGCATTTGATTTTTTTCACCTCTTTGATTATGATAGAGTTTTGTGGGTGAATAACGATGAATAAACGTTCATTCAGTTCATTCACATCCGTATTCGAAATTCGATCATCATTTTGATGATGGTCACGAATAAGAATTGGGGCAAGAATTATTAACTGCTTCTGCTGTTTGTTGATGTTTTCTATAAAATTTTGGTCATCTGGAAATCTTAGAAAATATGAGCTATTATTATAACGACAACAAACAACAACAACATCAAATTGGTTTTTCTCGAAATGATGCGGTGGTGTGATGTTGACACCTGTCTGTTTTTTGTTGGTTAGTCGATTGGTCTGTGGGTGATTTCTGTCTCATCATTTAATTTTCAATCGGTTGTTTTGATGATGATCAGAGAATAAGCAAAAGAAAAATTCAGACTTGAAGATTATTTTACTTTGAAAAAAGGCTTAATTTGGATATATGATTATCTTCGAGAATGATATTTGAAGTATTATATCAATCGCGGATTAGGTTTTTCTTGTCTATAATTTTAGTCATTTTTAAATTAATTTGTTTTTTATTTTATTTATTCACCAACAAAAAAAGATGATTAGTTAATGATTGTCGGTTGTGTTTAGCCTTTGGCGTCTGATTTGATCATTGATTCCTGATTACATGATTACCGTTCTCTCTGTGATTATTTGATCTGAATTTATTTTGATTTCAACCGCAACAGTAATATCAATTATCTATCCATCGATCAGATTGAAAATCAATTGAAAAAAATTATTTTTTAATTTGCTCATTTAAATCTTCTTTTTAATTTAATTCAATTAAATCATCTATATCCTTAATTCAGTCTAATCTAATTGGTTTTTTATTGGTTTTTTGTTTGTAAATGTTTTGCATTTTTGTTTCATTTATCTCGTATTGTTCGTATGTCAGTTGCTGGTTATTATTATTATCATCATCATCATTATTTTTCCATTTGACATTTACCGTTTGTTGATTTCCTGCATATACAAAACACAATTTTAGTCTATGTATTTGAATAGGAAAAAATTGTCTCGTTTTTTTATTTCTAGTAATTTTTTCATTATCATTATTAATCTCTCTATAATCTATTGTGGAGATAAGAATGGAAGAAAAGAGTGAATGAAGTGAAAAAAATTGACCATCACACCAGACATTTGCGATAGAGATAAAGACAATGAACCGTTAGATTAAATATCATCATCTGTGAATATGTGATACTCCATTCAACAGAAGATTGCAGTACCGTAAAGTACCACTAGTTTTGATTTGGTATTTCTCTCTTTCGAATAATGATCATTTTGTATCCTGTGTTCTTGTCATTTCTTTTGAACAAATTGAATGTCTGAGCCAGCGACAACAACATGGAGAATGTGTGCAGAATTAAAAGAGAAAACCCTATCAACATTACCGACCGCCTTTAATTTTTTTTTTCTTTTTTTTACATAGACTAAATGCTTTTTTAACAGTTTTCGAAGAAAAGAGAATCATCAACATCATCATCGATTCCCGTAAATACTCGAAAATGAACCAGAGTCGACCTTACCAAATCGGATTCGATAAAAACCGTAATGTTATCCAACCATTACGGTTTAGTTTGTCTTTCGAAATCGATTGTGTGTTTGTGTGTTGAATGTTGAATATTCGCATGACCGATACTGTTTTTTTTTATTTGTTTGTCACTTTTTGTTTGTCTTTGTCGTTCTCTGAATAACATTATTTCCGTAAAAGTTTTTTTTTGTTTCCCGTAAAATTTGTTTTTTTGCCAAATCAATCACCGAAAAAAAAGAATTTGCTTGATGCGTGATTCGTCTATAAGAAATTGATCGATTTTCTGATCGAGATCTAATTTTCAAGACGAAAATCGCTTTTTTCTTCGCTTTTTCTTGTAAAACAGTGATTGATTGAAGAAAATATTGAAATCTTAATTTTTTCCATTTTTGGTCGAAAAAATGATGATGCTACACAAAGAGCAACTTGTTGGAACAAGATCATCATTATCAGTATTATCAATATCAAAATCAATGATGATTTTCGTCATAATCAAATGTTCAATTCTTCTATTTGCTTCAATTTGCACCACTAGTCATGCACAACAAATTCAAGATCAAAGTAAGTTTTTATGTTCAATTTTTTGCTCACACAGATATATAAATAAATCAATTGATTAAGGTTGATTAGATTTAATTAACATTTGTAAATGATGATGGTTTTGAGATTTTGAGATTAACTAAGATTTCTAAGAAACACTTGAACACTTGTCATCTGCAGAGACATAGGTCATTGAATGTGATTATATGACCATCCCCCATGTTTTCAACAAACCATCAACACAAAAAAAAACTTTCAAGTCTTTTGAATGTGATAATATTGATGATGAATAGTTTTGTTCTTTTTTCTTGATCCATATTGTATTCAACATTTCAAACATTTTCTATTTCTATTCCTTTTTATATCAAATGATGATGATTTCAATCACTGTGATTATCAAATTGAAAATAATCAAATCCAGACTATAGAAAGAAAGTCGGTGTTGGCTTGTTTTTGAAGCACTGAAAGACAAGGATAAAAAATGTCCATTGTTTATGTATAAACATTCATCACTTAAGATTGATCTCATTTCATCGTTGTTGTTGTTGTTGTTGTTGTTGAAAAAGTAACCATTCATTCATTCATTCTCTTATTGATGATGGTGATTCTTACCAGTAATCAAAACGATTAGCCTGTCAATTTTTTACATACTCACCGTCGTGTCAATGTCTTCAAGCAATATTATCACAAGCAAAATGTTCATTTTCTTTCAAATCCATTATCATTAACATTGATAGATATCATTTTGGAAAAAATGGTTACACCGGTTTCGTTTCGTTTCTTTTTGACATTTGAATTGAATGATATGATGCGATTACATTATTATCATCATCATGATCATCATCTTAGTGTAGCACCTACATGGTACATTTACATAAAATTTCGTAATCAAATTAGCATCATTTTCTTTTGAATCGGTCAGATTTTTTTCGTTGTGGTTAGTAGTAGTTGGTAGTTTATAGTTTAAAAATGAATTTTTCTCAATGATCACATTGTCGATCGATTTTTGGCATTTTCGACGGTGTTAACCTGAATTTCTTTTTTTTTTTGTTTCCCAAACACTGTATCTAAATGAATTGAACATTGAATTATTATTATTGAAATAATTCAAGTGTTGATTATGTGAAAAAAACTACTCAAGATGGATGGTTATAGACATAATAATGAGTGAAGAAAAAATAATTCGAATCACTAATAAACGAACAGAAAAAAAGAAGTTCAAAGGTGGTAATATGGGCTTGATGTTGTTGAGAGAGAGAGAGAATAAGTGTTTATCAGCACATTTGATCTATCTATATAGAGAGCTAATTTGTTTCTCTTGAAACACTCAAAACGAGCAACACTTTGCCCATTTAGACACACAAACACACAATATCTCGATTATGAACATTTCAAATCACATTTTCTTACGAGGAAATTGCTGTTTTTTTTCTTAAAACAAAAAAATGGCACGGAAAAATTAATTTTTTGGTTCTTCCTTGTGCCATATCTATCTATCATGTGTGTGTGTGACTAAAAATTTGATCAAATATGAATCTTTTTTCACACAGGCGAAATTCTCTCATAACGTGATTGTGATTCAATTTTTGTTCTTGATCGACTAATTTATGATTCTTGGGTTTAATTCATTCTCATCATAAATTCTCTTTTTCGATATGATATTGTTAATTTTTTTTTCTGGAGTTGATTTGTTCGCACAATTTAATCACACATATAGTATATGATGATGATGATTTAATCGTTTTTTTTCGAAAAATTTTTTTGTACTAATTGAAAACAACCATTAGATTGGATTTTTTTTCACATCGATTGTGATAAAAATCATCATATTTCAAGCTTGTCGTTTTTATTATCGTCATCATCATCATCATCAGATCAATTATTTATCTATGTTGTTGTTTTATGACCTTTGACTATTTTTTTTTTTAATAATCATAATAAACCACCACCACTTTTATCAAGAACAGCATGTGATGCCAAAAACTGATGATGATGATAAATTCTTTCGGGAAAAATGTTCAGCTTTAGTGAAAGACTTGAATTTTTTTTTGCTTCCCATATCTATTCATTTATCTTCCATATGGATGAAAATCTCTAAAACAAAGATCAGCTTTTTTGGTTTAATTTTTTGGTTCTCACAAACTGATGTTGGAAATGAATTTGATGGGTGCCACACATGTAATGTTTGTTTGTTTTTTTGAAAAATTTATTTTCTAAAAAATTTAAAATAAACATTCAAGACAACTGATTGAATAAATATTGCTGTCCAGTGCATTTGTCCTAGATTAACGATAATTGTTGTTATTGTTTTAGATTTTCCTTTTTGTTGACATTATTTTGAATTTTGAATTTTAAATTTCAAATTTTAAATCGTATATACCCTCTTTCTCTTTGTGTTTGAGTGTGTGTGTGTGTGTGTTTTCGAGTTATTTGTGTTTGGTGTGGCCTGTTGACTGATGGTATGTTCGTGTTTGTTCCGTTTAAATTCATGGTCGACCTGTTTATGAAACACAACACTTTTTTAATGTTCAAGTTTTTAATTACATCAAGAATAATGATCATTTTAGGAAGATGTCGGATTTTTAATCGATTCAAGTTGATTTTATTGTTTGTTGAATTTCGATAAATCGAATGAAATTAATGTGATCGATCGATCACTAAATGATATATTTATCGTTTGTTTGTTTGTTTGTTCATTTCAAATTGATTGCCATCACCATCATCATCACCATTAATCATTTATCACCTTTTCAGTGATGATGATTAATGTCAATAAAATTGATTGTTGATAATAGATTTTTTTCTTATTTTATCATTCAATAGTATGAATTTTGTGATGAAATGAGAAAGGCACGATCTAGCACATGAGCGAGCATTAGTTTCATATTTAATTTGTGCTAAATGTGTTTGTGTGTTTCTGCTTGACCACCAACGATTTATGCATAATATGGATGTATTTCATTTCTCAATGTTCATGATCGATGATCATTGATTGATAATAATCGTCGTTTATTGCATATCATTAGCAATTTTTTTTCTAATCAATAAACTTGTGATCTAATATAAAATTATGAATAAATCATCATCAGGTCGATTAGATCCGATTATTTAACCGATAGTAGAATTTAATTTATTTGCTATTTGCTACTAGATTTAATTTGATTATAATTACGACAATCAATTCTCCATCATCACGTTATTGATCATGATTGATGTTATTTATATTGACCGATAAGATAGAGTCTCGAGTCATTCTATTTAAGTTTATCAATTTATCAATAATAATTTTTTTTTGATTAGTCATTATGTGATTTGCACCTTTTTTCGTATTACTAGAAATAAATTATATATATATAGTCATGATACTAGTCATTGTTATAATTTTGTTCATTTTTATTGTAATAATTTTTGGTCATCCGATTATTGGTACTTGTGAATTGTTTTCAAACAATATTTCGAAATGATTTACAATACTAAATACGAAAATAATAACCATCTTGATGATGATGATATATGGTATGTGGTATATATTTTTTCATAGATAACCTTGACCTTGAACTTGAAATTTTGACATAGTTTCCGAAAAATCCATACCTTAACAATTTTGTTCATTTCATGGCTTACATGGATAATGTTTGTTTTGTTTGTTTATAATATCCATTTCCAGATTATCATCATTATGATCATATCATATGGTTCACATTAATTTCAATTGTTGTCTTTGTTATCATCATTTTCATTATTATTTGAGGATCATTACATTCAAATTAAAATTAACTAGATCGTTGGGTTCTTTCATGTTCACATTTATCATCAGTGAAAATAATGATCGTTATGGTTGGATAATTTTGAAAACCTGCCCTTCAGCACATGGACTACCATCTGGCCCGAAATTTCTTTTTATTCTCATGTTTTGGTCATATTTTCATTCAGATCATGATGAGATTTCATTCATTAGATATTGTCATTATTATTGCCGTTATCGAGAGCCCTAGTATAGTATATTCTAAAGAATTTTTAATGATCCTGAACATGGCCATAGTAACATATTTGCATAGTAGATATTCTTCTCTTTAAACTGAATGGACATTTATTAATCTGGCTAATAGCGAATTTTTTCAATTACAGTGAGATAATCTTTTGCTGTTGTTTGTCTTGTCGTTTTCACATTCACGTTTTCTCTCTCTCTCTCTCTCTCTCTCTATTTACCCGGTTGTTGAGGTTATTTTGATTATGTTTTCTCATCATTATCATGATGACAATCATCCAAAATAAACAGGCAAGAAAATGTATTGTATTAATAATTAGATCAAGTTCTTTGAAGAGAGTAAAAAAATTTATTATTCATACATTCAACATTGCGAGAATTTTTTCTTTCATTTAATTATTGTTGATATTATCATATATAAGAGTTGTCACAATTCCGGATATATTGCTCACATTTCAATATGATTATACTTCATCATTGTCAATGCTTGCGCTTATCTTTTATGACCAACTTATTTTTGTTAAATTAAAGTTTGTTTTGTTTTATTATTATTATTGAAACCTTATGATTCTATTGTTTTTTTCATTTCATATTACTGTCACACCTTATGGTTACATAATTATTGTGCAATAAAAAACTGTTCTGCTCAATAATGATTATTCATTTAATGTAGAACCAGATAGAACCAGAATGGTGATATCAAATATCGTTGTTGCTGATTCGTTGAGAATTTTTTCATCATATTATTTGGCTACCTGTTTTTTTTTTTCGTTGGCTTGTTGCTCTTTCCCTTTATAGTAGGATATTGTGTATTTTATACAATATTTTATTTTGTTTGTCATCATCATTTTGTTACTGTTGTTGACTGTGATAAAAAAACGTAAGTTTTTTATCTTTCTGATTGGTAATAATAAGATGGTTGAACTTGTTACTTATGTGATGGTTACTTACCTTAGCAGCCAGGTTTGTTCACTGAAATGAATGAACGCATGACTGGTGCCAATTAGATTTTTTCCTTTTTTTCCATGAATATTAGTGTCGAAAAGACTTTATATCTTCCTGTGTGGACATGGAAGAGAAGGTATTAAATATGTGTTGTTTATGATGGTGTTTATTGTGTTATATACACTGAATTGATGAATATGATGAAAAAGACCAAAAATCTTTATATGCATCAATCAATGAGAGAGAGAGAGTGAAATAAAATGAAACAGATGACATTTTCTCTCTCTCTCTCTCTCTTTTTACTTCTTAACAATGACATATGCCAGTCACTTTTTCTCCTTTTCTTTTTTGTTTAATTGGTTTCCGAAACATTTTTTTCTTTACAATCATCACCGCTCATCGTTCAATCATCATTTGTCAATGAATGATGAGTATGATTATCTCAATTCTGTCCCTTCTTTTCTTTTATCTTTTCGCTTGACAACCAATTTTTCAACAAAAAAACTGATTCCTTCCGGTTAAATCATAAATTTGTCACCTTGAATAGAATGAATTGATCAACGCCAAGGTTATGACACATTCATTGATGATAATGATGGCCCAAATACTGATTCATATATGACAAATGATGATGATGATGACCTTTTGAGAATTCTTTTATTTTTCCGGTATTTGTTGGTTGTTTGTTGTTCAAAATAATTGGTGGGAACTTTTCATATTTTTCTTTTCTCAATCATCATACTTATGTCGTTGACAAGTTTTCATTATTTCATGATTATTATATGGCTATGGTTATATTTTCCTAGCCCTTTTTTCATAGTTCATATTCGATCAAATCATTTCTTCTTCCGACTATTAATATATGATGAACATTTTGACACTTTTATCATTTGTTTTTTGTTGATTCATCTCATTTTATGGTTCAATGATTCGATTCAGAAATTTTTCGCCTTTTGATTTGAGTATTATAACGATTATCGGATAGAACAGGTAAAATCTAGATGCATTTTTTTTTTTTGTTGACCTTGTTTTATGTGAAAAACAACAGATTCTTTTTTATAATCTTTCATTAGAGCAGTTTTATTGTAACCCTTGTTCTAGAAAAAAAATAATCGAATACAATGATCATATCGTTGTGAATCGATTTGTACTCATCAATTGAATCAGGTTAATCCTTTCGGTTAAACCTTGTTTTTCCCAATGTTACCCATGATAAAATGATGATGATGATGATGTTGTTGTTGGTGGTGGTGTTGGTGTTTGGCATTCATTCATTGATGGTAATTTTTTTCCTTTACAATTTATTCGATTCATTCGGTAGACAGAAAAAAATTCATTTAGAAAATTCCATTAGATTGAGAATCGCCGTACACATTCGAAAGATGTTAATTAGACAATCATGTTTGGTAATTGACCACAATTTGATCCCTTGACTACCAGCTTATAAAGATCTAATCAATCTATTGAAATCGATTATTCGATTGTTAATCGATTTTATTATTATTATCCATGACTCACGATTCTATCACATAACATCATCATCATCATTATTATTATGATTATGATTATGCTAGTAGTCGATGTCTTTATTTTATTCAATCTTTTCTTTTTTTCTTTCTTTCTTTCTTTTTTTCTTTTCATATATAGATGATCTATTGTCAAACATCAATAGTAATAATAATCAAAACGATTTGGATTGTACAAATGGTGGTCTTATAACATTCGAATTGATCACCGGTTATGTACTGACATCACCTGCCGAAACTGTTACAATGATGCCAGGTATATTACAGTTAAGCGATTGTATTGATCGTTGCCAAAAAAATCAAACCTGTAAAGCATTAAATTTTGAGACTGGACTATGTGTACTACTCACGACCGCTGCTAATGATCAGACTACCGTATTGACACCATCACAATTCCCGGTATTCACTATTTTTGCCCAGAAAATCTGTCTGAATAGTATGTGTTTGGTGTGAAATTTTTTCTTTTTAAAAACCATTATCATCATTGCATTTTTCTTATCTTATTCGTCTTTTATCTATAGAAAATTATCAAAAATGTGCCAATAAAGGATGGTCATTTGAACGTGTATTAGGATTCGAATTGAAGGATAAAGATTTACGACAAATTCAAGTATCAAATCGTTTTGCATGTATGCAAGCTTGTCTATCCGAACGGGAATTTATTTGTCGTTCAGCAAATTATGATCCGGATACCGGTGATTGTACCCTTTCCGATATGGATCGCGGATCAATTAATCCGACACATGATCTTAAAATGCGTACTTATGGACCATCAAGTGGATCAACCGAATACATTGAAAACAATTGTATTGAAGGTATGTACTAACCGAGAAAGAGAAAAATGACAAAATTATCACTTGGACAATATCACAACTTCACATCATCATTCAATATAAGATGAAAATTTCATCATCATTATCATTTGAAAACAATTAGCCGAAAAAATTTAAAACCCGATAATTTTGCAACCAAGCGTAACGATTATTATTTTTTTGTGTAACAACTACTTTTGCTGCTAAGTTTGTTACTACAATTGTAGTCTCAAACTTTAAAGTTTTCGGGATATTTTCTGAAGAGTAAAACAGTGGGATGATGATGTAATAAGTGGTAGTAGTAACCATGATATTCATAATATTGTATATCAAAAGATTGTCGATCATCATCTTAGGATAATTGGTAATAGTAGTTTTTGACCATACTCAAAATCATCATTATTGTCAAATGATTGATAGATTTACTTTGATGATGATTGTTGTTGTTGTTCCAATGAAAAATGAATACGAAAGATTGAGAGATTTGTGATTAGAATGGATGAAGAATTGAAAAAAAATTTCTTTCATTGAGGAATCATCGTCGTCAATGTTTTTTTTCACAATAACAACAATATGCCAAAAAAGGGTCAATCATCATCATCATCATCATCTGACAATCGTCCATTAGTCAAGAAAAATGATGATGATGATGTAGAATCTACATTGTAGATGGCATAGAGGGCATACAAAACAATCATCATCATACCGGTAATAGTTTATGGTGCCCACACTGAATTTTTATTTTTCATTTTCTGTACGGCCGGTAAAAATGATGAGATAATCTTTATTTTCATTCTCCTTCAATGTGTTTTTTAGTGTGGCTATGATGTTAGTTTTCCCATGATGTGAAATGGTGAAAAAAATGTAATAATAATGATGATGATGAAATTCGGAGCAAAAATCTGTCGAATACTTATATATCAAATGATAAATTGTTTTTTTTTCTTTTGTTGATGACAATTTTTGTTTTCTGTTTTTTCCATTAATTTCTTTTCGATATTTTTCCATCTATTTAGAACCGAAAAAATTGTGCGATTTTCGTCCAATTGAAGGAAAATTATTGAAAACGGTTGATTTTGTCTATCAAAATGTCCAATCAATTGATGAATGTCGTGAAAAATGTCTATCATCGCCATATCGTTGCCATTCATTCGATCTGGGTGATCCAAATAATCCGAATCATGTTTGTCGTACAAGTCATCTGGATAAATATTCATTGGCTCATATTGAAGATGCATATCTACAGGTTAACGGAGCCATTACATACGAATTACATTCATGTTATAACGGTATGTATACGGATTAATAATCTACCTACATTGATCATTTGATATTTCTATTTAGCAACCATCAAATCTAATTAGTGTAATGTTTTCATTTTTCCACTGTCCATTATATACATAGAAATTTCGTTTTAATTTTATGAGCATTTCACATGCAAATTTGCACAGAAAAATATATAAAGATGATGATGGTAATAGGCAAATAATATAAGGAAGCAGCAGGTTTCATAGATTTTCACTGATAAGTGATATTGTCGCGCCATTTTTTTGTTTTGTTTCATAAACATAAACAGCAACAGGTGTTTTTTCCAACACAATTGCTTCTCAATTTCGGTGGCCTGTATTTTTTTCAATAACGGTACAAATTTTTGTTGGCCGTTTTTCTTTCCTGTTATTATTTTCTATGATACTGTGGCTAACTAGCTAGATCGATCTTCTTTAGAATAATTATGATATGGTCAAAATGAATAATGTTAGCATTTTTGAAGGTTGTTTTTTGACTCGTAACGCGCTCTATTTAACATTTGACAACAACGAAAATGATTCTTAATGATGATGATCAGGATATATCCATCATCCAGACGACAATCATTTCGTCATTTTGAAGACGATATCCGTTGAGATATATTACCAAGTCGCCTCTTTTTGAAACTCACCTAGTTATTAGATTCGGTTGACATTTGTTCCTTGAATTTCCATACTTTTTTTTTATTTGATTCTAGATCTTAAGGTTTTCTTCATTATAATCATAGTTATCATTATCAAAAGTTTGTTTCAACATTTTGAAAAAGCTCATTAATTTCTTTTTGTTTTTTTCTTTCATTTTCCAATCAAACAGTGAGTATTCTTTGTAAATCACGCGAAATGATTGCTCATGTACAGACGACAAAAATTTTCGATGGAAAAATCTATGCAAAATCAAAACCAAATCTTTGTGTTGAAGATATCCAGAATAGTTTGGATTTTGAGATACGAATGAAATATCATGATGTTGATTGTGACGTTAAAGAAGTTGTACATGGCCACTTTAGTAATGATATTGTCATCCAACATCATGATATGATTGTTACAACAAAAGATCTTGGCTTAAGTATTCATTGTAAATACGATTTATCTAATCGTAGTATTACGAATAATGTTAATCTTTCCGTTGATGGGTATGTTAATAAACTTTTAATGTTGTATGTTGTATTTGACAGGAATAACCCTTAATTGTTCATTGTTTTTGCCTCTTTCCAACGACAGTGATGTTGATGCAACCGATAGCCAATCGGCCATTGTAAGCTCACCAAATGTAACAATGAGAATTACTGATCGATTGGGCAGTAACATTGTTTCAGCTCAAGTTGGTGACCCCCTTATGATTCGTTTTGAAATTGTTGAAGCAACAAGTAAATATATATTGATTTCGATGCTCCTAATTGTTATCTAAATCGTAATTTTTTTCCATTGAAAATTTCATTCTTAGGTCCATATGAAATTTTTGTTCGAGAATTAGTAGCTGTGGATGGTCAAGATCAATCAGAAATTTTATTGATCGATTCAAATGGCTGTCCAACTGATATCGCTATAATGGGCGCAATGAATAAGATTGGCGGCGATCGTAAAGCGATTGAAGGTCCATTTGATGCATTTAAATTTCCAACATCAGAAACGGTTCAATTTCGTGCATTAGTTACTCCTTGTTTACCAACATGTGAACCAGTACAATGTGATATAAGGGGTTATGATGGTGGTCTCAGAGAATTAAGCTCATTTGGCCGTCGAAGACGACGCCGTAGTATACGTAGACGAAGTATTTCTTCAAACCATATCAATAATGATGATATTCTCAATGAAGAAGAGATAATTGTTGCCAAAGCTATCCAAATTAAGGATAAGTTTGCATTTAATGGCAAAGATAAACGGAAAAATCAATCGGGACAACTGCAACAACAACAACAACAAGATCATCATCGATCTACATACGATTCAAATGAAGAAGGTTAGTATAATCATGCAGAAAAACAAATAGAATGACCGCATTACAATCGAAATGAATATCATTAGCATTCGTGATAAAGCATCTGTTCAGAAGTGAAAAACAAAAACATGGTTTTTAGACTGTAATTAAAGACAGGTTTAACATCAATTTCAAAATCAGTGGATTTTAGATTTCTGTATTTGCTTGTTTGTTTTGCTTTTACAATGAAAATGATGACTTTAAAAGTTATGACCATAGTCATTATAGTTGGTTTTAAGGCTTAGGGTTTATATTTAAATTTTTTCCGATTCTTAGTGAGACGGTCAGAACAAAAGGATTTAATTGAATCATGATAATGATGGTCGTTATGTCACAATAACATAGTAGATGAATGTTCTAATAATCATCAAACGAAAACTAAATTACTTTTTTTCATTTCTTTTTCATTCATAGCATTTATTGTCTCACGGCGTGATCTGATTTCAAACACTGGTACCTGTTTAAATTCAATGGGATTTATATTTGCCGGATCATTTTTTCTATTGGCACAATTGGTGTTATTATTAACATGGGCATGTCTACGTAGTAGATCACAATCATTGCTAACGAAAACATCAACATTATCATCACCATCATTTTCATCATCATCATCCGCATCATGGGATATAATGGATCGTAGTAAAATTATTCGTCCAACATTATGCGCTAGTCATAATCATCACAATGTTTTCCATCATTATCAACAAACAGGAAAACATCATGTATGATGCTGACAATGAAACAAATGAAAATGTTATGAACAGCAATAGAAAGAAACATTTTCCAATTGTCTACTAATTCAAGTGGATTTTTGTTTGATTGACGAACTACGATAGAATTTTTTTTCAAATTCTTCAATTTTTTCTACATCTAATCTAAATTTATTTTACAAAATGGGATTCAAGGGAAACAAACAAAAAAAACAGAAAAACATTGACACTTTCAAAAGAACTCAATTTTTTACAGCCATTCAATTTTCATTTCAATTTGTAAATATTTTTTGACGACTGATTTGAATAATTTTCAAACCACACTATTATTTATTGCCCAATTATTCTTCATCAAACAAAAGAACAAATTCTTGCCTTTTTATTTATTTATTTATTTAACTTATTTAAAAAATAATTGTGGTCCATTCGTTTTTTCAGACAATCGGACCGACAATCGAGTTGTTCTAATTTTTCACACACACTTGATGTGTTTTTTCAATTGAAGTTTTGAATTTCTAATGTTTTTTAAATCATTTGTGCTTCAGCGATTCTCCAGATTTAGATTTTTAAGCAAATAAAATTTTTGTCTCATTATTTTAATCATGAAATTGCATTCAGTCCAACCTTTGATAAACTTTAAGAAAAAACACCCATTCTAATCTGAACACAACTAGAACCAGTGAAGTCAATGTTTTCCAATAAGTTTTAAAACAAATTCTTTATTCAAATAGAAAATAATAATACAAGCGAAAGTGTTTGTTCAACAGATACAACGCCATGTTGTTCATATTATAACAAACTAAATTGCAGAAAAGTTCTTGGGCATTGTGATTGATAAAAATCAATCAGCCGAATTTACATTTACTGAAATCCATTTCTGGGTGTTGAGCCATAAATTTTTTCAACATTTCCTGCTTTTGCTGCTGTTCTGATGTCGGCAAACCCATCTCCTTTTGTCGTTGATCATACATCATTTTTTCCACCATACTACGTGTTTCACCATCAAGATCGGATAATTTTGATGATTCTGGATTAATTTTTCGAGTGTTCAATTCAGGATCTGTTGTTATTAATTTATTCCACCAATCCATTTTGTTATGTTTAGTCATTGTAATAACAATCATCACTGCATCTTGAATCACCCAAAAACAATCTTCCAATTTTATCTCATTGTACAGATCACCATCGATGATAAATGGATGACCTTAGGATAGAAAGAATTTTTTTAGCGCAAATTCATATTGATATTATATCATTTTAATATTCATAAAACGTACCTTTGACACCAACCTGTAAATGTTTCTTTTGAAAATTAACGACAACATCACGTGATTTGAGTTTGATGCCTAATCGAACAGGAACTTTTAGTTCAATTTCATCCAAAGTTTGTGTCCACGAATAATTGGGTAAATCACAACCATTGCCAGAATTTGGTTTCAATTTATTTGGATCATCTTCATCATCGTTGTCTTTGACAGCAGGTTGATCATCATCGAGTTTATTTTCTTCGTTTGTTTTGTCGCCATTATTCAATTCTGATGCTATGACGGAATAAATTTTAGAAAATTTTTTATCAAGATAAAATCCATACCTTGTTGCTGTTTTTTTCTTTGTTCTTCTTTCATTTTTTCTGCTTCTTCATCGGTAATTTCAACAATGGCTGGTTCGTCTTTCATTTTTTTGATATATTCCTCTTCTTCACGTTTTTTAGCCGCCAACCGTTCTTGATGCTTTTTCTCTTTTTCTATTTTCAATTTTTCCTGTTGTTGGTGAATTTGTTTGGATTCTTGATTCCATTTTTCAAATGTTTCCATCACTGTTTTTTTAGCCTTCTCTTCACCGGCACCAATGAAGAAATCTGTCTTTCGAGCCATAAAGCTGAATATAGTATCCAAAAATTCCAAAACGCCTCCCTTATGTTGTTGTGCCATCGACAACAATATGCCATCAAAACGTTCTTGATTTTCCGCCATCTTCGTTGATAGAATGAATCGATTGATATCGAATGCTGTTTTACAAAATTACGAAATTAAAAACAATGCGTGAAATGTGAAAATGTTCGAATCTTCTTGTCAAAGAAAACACTCGAAAAAACGTGATGATTCCAACCATTGGCCATTCATAAAGATTGTTTCAGATTAATTTCCATTAAAATGCATAGATGGCAACTCCATCAGATGGAATAAATTTTTCATTATTTCTAGAGCGCCAAAAATTAAATTTTTGTTCAAGCTTCACTTGACCACTTTAAAAGTCTTTATTATTTGATTGAATGAGAAAAAATTACATAAATATGCATGAAGTATTCATAATTTGATAATTCGGCCCGTTTCGAAATACATGATATGTGATTCGTTGGACAGGATGGGAAAAAACAATTGATTTAGTAAAAGAAAAAAGCAAAAATAATTTGGCCACACCTTAACATTCGGAAAAAATAATAAATTTCTACCCATCTTCATGCTCATCATTTAATGTGCTCCTGTTGAACGAGTGACAATAATTTTCTGGTTCAAAAAATTAATAAATAAATAAATAGCCAAAGTTTGAATGAGAGCCAAGAAAAAAAATGAAGTCCTTTTCCCGTGGATTTCTTGCAAGTTAAAGCCCGTAACCAGTGAGTGTCTTGTATCAGAATTTGCCAGAAGAAAAAGTTCATGAAAAATATCCATGTTGTCGACTAGGTACCGAGTATACGATTGATGATGATTGTAGTGGGCCACACGTTCTTTTTGTGATGGGCATCCGATTGATTGATTTCGTTGATGGAACCAATGACCACTGAGTGGATGCTGATGATGCTTTTCCATAAATCAATTCATTTTCAAGCAATGAATTTTTACGTTTTTTACTCCAAATATATGACCAACTGATGATTAGGATTGTTTGACATACTAGAAATGCTACGGCAAATATCATTAGGCTGATAACATTTACACATGGTGATGTAATCTCCATTCGTGGTAAACCATTAATTGAAATGGAATCTTTTTTGATTTGGAAATAAAAAAAATTATCATAAATAAAATTGATATCGGATCAAGTGAATATATTTACCTTCAAAATCGGCATATACTTCTGAGTGATTGTTTTGTTCGATTTTATTTCGTTTTTTACCATCTTTTACTGCAAATTTATCAGTTACACTCAATGATTCTACAACAATAACATTTTGCCTAGGATCATTGATATCTGATTTATTATTATCATCAGCATTGGATGGTGAACGACGTCTTCTTCGTCGGCCATACGATATGCTTTGGCTTGTTCGGCCATTCGGCAGATTAAGATTACAATTGATTGGCTCGCAATTTGTAATACATGGTGTGATCAATGCTTTGAATTGAACAATATCCGATGAAGGAAATTTGAACGCTTCGAAACTTGTCTCCAATGTTTTTGCGCTTTCACGAGATTTTAATACTGGTTTCATGATGGCAACATCCGTTGGACAACCATCCGAATCGATAAGAACAAATTCGGACATATCACTACCATCCAAAGCTATTAATTCACGGACAAATAATTCATACGGAGCTGTTGTTGTTATATAAAGATGAATAAAATTGTAAAAAATTTTATTATTGAAAAACAAAATTAAAATTTTTATTAAATGAATCGTTTTCAGGATACATTTCATCAGTTAAACCTTCCTTTTATACCAGATTTATAGAAAAATTTCTTGCGAATCATTAATCAATCATTATTGCAACAATTATGTTGGCGATGATGGTTTTTCGGACAAAAACACTAAAACATATGGCAAAGTAATTAGAATTTTGCAGAAAAAACAATTCAAGTCTATCGTAGGATTCTTTTAATCTTTGAATATAAAGAAAATGAAATTATAGCCTTTAAGATGATGGTCATAAAAATCGATGCTGTATATATAACTATTATGGTCATTATTTCTTCAATCGTTATAATCAATAATAATGAATAATTACTCATCATCCAAGACACCTGAACTAGTGAAAATGATGGCAATAATGAATGGAAATCTAAATCTAAATCTAAATCTAAATCTAAAATATAATTGCTACATTTACATACAATACAAAATTGATTAGTAGGATAGTCTTCATTGGCTTCATCATACAAATAATGAATTTGTTTGAAATGCAAATGTCTTTCGAACACAAAAAGAAAAAAGAGTTGATTATATTCTGCACATTCGTATAAGGTATTTTTGTTATTCAGATAGATAAAACAAAAAAACGTGTCATCCTTCCTCTCTTATAATCACGGTGAATAAATCTCAGACTTCCTCATTGAATGCGTAGTGTGTTTATTTGTATTTTTCTTTTTTCTCTTTGTTAAACATATAGTTTGATGAGAATCAACATTCCAGAATGAATTGTGTCAATAATGATCATGATGATGATGATGATCAGAATAGAAATGAGAACTTTTTGCTGAGTGAGGACAATCATATTCAAAACTTCATGAACATTCATTCATTTGTTCATGGTTTAAGATGAATATGTAATTATGAGAATCAACCGCAAGTTGACCATCCTCATCATGATCACCTCGAATGACATACAGATCTTCTCACTACTAGTGTATCTGAAGGTCAGGATTCCATCATCTATTCATATGTGAATGGTTGGCAATTACATTCGATCATTACCAACATCATCATTGCCAATTTTCGATTGATTTGAAAATCGATTATTTAGAAAAAAATGAACATTCTATAAACTTACTTGATTGGTCGACAATTTCAAAACGTAACACTAATTGATCACCAACTTTAGCCGCACGTACATTGGCACCATCCATATCTACAATCGTCATTGTTACATTTGGTGAATCGACAACAGCTGAATGTGTACCGATTGGCTGCAAATTGCTATTTGAAAATTGATTGAAAACAAGAATTATTATTATAAGCAAAATGATGGTAAAGTGAACAGCAACTGCAACAGCAGCAATTTCAATTTTCTCTAAGATGAAAAGATATAAGAAAATGATCGAAAAAAATACAATTATAGGGCAATTCAAACATGCCAATTAATGTTAACCAAGTGTAAAATTATTCGCTTGAGCAAGGTGATAAATTCCATTATATTAACCAATGAATAAACCAACCATCGTCACCAATGTTTGATTTACCTACATTGTAGATCTTTCTGATATCGATTTGCCGTTGAAAAAGCAAGAAAGAATTGTCAATTTGGGTGTTTTAACCCGAAAATAGAAGAAAAACATTTCTAACGGGAATGACCAGTTACCGATAAAAATTGGTTTGAAAATAGTAATTATCTTTTCCTGTCTAAAGGATTCTTCCGTTTTGTGTTTTTTTCCGCTTTATCACACATTTATGACATTTGCATATACATTTCATTTGGTGTGAATGTAATTTTTCAAATAGCGAAAACAACGAAAAAAGGAGAGAACATTTGAGACTAATGGAAAAAAATGTTTGTTTAAGATATTTGACATTTGAAAATACAAACACACACACACACACACACACACACATGACTGATTTTTCTTTTGACATACTCTTGAAAGTAATTTGAATTTTTCTTCTAACCAGCCTATAATTTTCAAGTTTGATAATCATGACCATGATGATTCCCAAGAAGGGTGACATTTGAAGATGAATGAAAATTTCATATGACAAAAGATCCGGCGATTATCATGATCACTAGTTTGTCACACACATGCACACACATTCTTGTCTTTTTTCTTCTTTCTATTTAGAAGATGACAAATAATGATTAGTGTAATTATAATTACAGGATATTCAAAGTTTGATTTATGAAGATTGATGCGATTCAAATCACACACAAACAATAATTAGATGTATCGAATCAATCAATGTTATCTTGATTATCGGACATTTGAGAAAATCAGTAATCAATTTTTTGAACACAACTATTGGTTATCTTGTTAATGATTATAATAATCAAACACAGAACCTGATGGCTGACTTATTGTCTAATTATTAATGAATATGGTGATTATCTAGTTTCCTAGTTCATTATAATTGAAAATATGGAAATAATAGGATTTCGAAAAAATTTTCTCTTACCCAGTAATATCAAGATTGACGTTGTTTGAAATGCTTTGATTGGAAAGATCATATTTACAGTTGATGTTTAGACCAAGATCTTGTGTGGTGACAATCATATCGTGATGTTGGATGACAATATCATTCGTATATTGACCTCTTGAAGTTTGCTGTACATCACATTCAAGATCATTATATCCCATATGGATTTCAAATTCAAGACTTTCATTCACATCGGTCATACAATGATATGGTTTACGTTTAGCATAGATTTTGCCATCAAATATTTTCGATGATCGTACTTTAGCAACCATTTCTCGGGATTCACAATGGATGTTTACTGTGGGTAGAAAAAAATCAATTATAAAAGACAAAAGACAAAGACAGAATTTAAGATTGGGATAAAGACATCAAAAAAACAAACAAAAAAAACAACTGACCATCATAACAAGCTTGTAGCTCATAAGTAGATGCACCGGCAATTTCGATATAAGGATTATCAATATGCGCCAATGAAATCTTATCTAAATGACTTGTACGACAAACCGGATTACTTGGATCACCGTAATCATATGAATGACATTTATATGGTCCTTGTAGACATTGGCGTTGACATTCTTCAATGGTGGTGATATTTTGATAAACCGAATCGACCGTTTTCAATATTCGGCCATGAATCGGTTTAAAATCACAAAGTCTTTTTGGTTCTATGAAGGTAGAAATCATAAGAATAAAGTTGTTATCGCTGTTTTGTTGACTAAAATTATGAATATATCTAGTTGTTTGATGGGTGAGGATAATGTTAGCAGTTTATAGTTTTAATATCAATCATCGGCTTAAATAATAACCATATATGAACCATCTAACTAATCATTTACATGTCTGACCTGGCCTTATTGCCTTGTCTTGATATCTTTGTAAAATTGAGAATTTGAAACTTTGCTATGAAAAAAAGAAGAGGATTTTATAGGTAAAACATGTGCAAAGTAGTTATTATTTATGGTACTCATTCAGCAATGATCAGCACTAGAATGGTAAAGTGTGAAAAACAGAAATCTGTAAAGCTTGATCTAATGGCTAACGATCCAGATAACACAATAATGATAATACAACACGCAAATCATAAATCAAAAGACTGAATTGATCTTGTAAAAGGTTAATAAACTGATAAACAATAGACGTATGCGTTTGTGTCAAGTGATAAAAGCGAAAATTTTTGATTCTTTACCTTGTACGCAATTGAATTCATAATAATCAATATTACCGGATGATGGACCATATTTTTGTGAACGTATTTCCGTATTAATGTTAACTGTATGACGATTCATATCCGAGAGCCAACATTCACCAGTTTTTGATTCATAATTAATCGAACGACATTGAAACTTTTGCTCCCAAACACATGCTTGCATACAATCTTGACTGGTTGGTGCTTGTAGCAAGCGTTTTTCATGTTCACGAAGTTCAAAGCCACTAACACGTTCAAATGTCCATCCATTGTTAGCACAACTGGTGCTTAGATCTAAGATAGACGATGGAGAAAACAACCACAAAAAGAAAAACATTTATAAAGAACATGTTGTGAAATTATTACTGTTAAACAATGGAAAAATAAATATAGTTCATTATACAATACAAATATGTTATTTATAACAAAAAAAATCATCAGATCATATCAGTCTTGATGAAAGATTTTTCACATATCCATATCTTGGAAGAATAATTTATCAGAGAAAAAAGACAAGGAATCTTATTATAAATCTAATGATGATGATAATGATGATGATGGATATAATGATAATGTTCAAAGAAATATAAATTATATATTCTGACCACAAACAATAATAATGGTCAGGATAACAACATTATCGACGAATGATCCAATGTTAACCTAATCTAAATATTAATGATGAATGAGTGAAGTCATTTTCAACTCTTATCACGAATCGAATACATCGATAATAATCATTAGCACTTCCGCAAATAACAATAATGATCATCATCATTTAGATTTGAATTTCTGAAGTGGTAAAGAATGAAAAAAAATAATATTAAAATTTATGATAAAAAACAGAAACGTCGAAAAAAATTTTGTTTTTTCTTTCTTGTTTGTTGGAAGTTTGTGTTCCTATCAGAGTGGGACTAGTGTCAAATATCGTAATTAATTAGATTTGAATCATTCAAAGTTTATTTATTTTTCAAAAAAATAAATAAATTTGCATCACAACAGACAGACAGTGAAAGATTAAATTGAATTATTAAATGATGAAAAATTTTGATTGATTACAACAACCAAATGTTAAATACTTGTGAGAGAATCAATATGATGAAACAAACTCGCAAAAGGTATTTTTTGTAATGATACATAGACTATAAAGCTTCTTCTTTAACCTTTGCATAGATTTAATCATCTCAACTGTCATTTAGGATTATTATAAGATTAAGAGTGTCTCTATCATGATGATAATGAGAGAGAGAACAATTATCTATCTATATCGTTAGTTGACGAATTATCAAGTTCAAGTAATGCTAATTTAGTCTTGTTTTGTTGGAAATATGTATGTATTTTTGCTTTTTACGACAGACAAAAATGGCTCATTATTATAATTTTTGTTTGTCATTTTTTGTCACTTTAGTGTTTGCATTTATAAGCATTTAAGTTAAGTAAGGCCAATGACCAGACAAATAATAAAATCTCGTTCAAAATGCATTGGCATGGTGGTGGTGGACATTCACCGTTTGCCATGTTGTTGTACATGTATGATGAATCTGATGTTTGATAACGACCATCGATGATGATGTTGATGAGAGTGAACTCAACACATTGATGATCTATGTCTATGCAAATTTAATTTTCTATTTTCTATTTCTATTTTCTATTTTCTATTTCTTTGCTCTACATCAAACATAGACACAATGGAGCGGAATAGTTGAAATGACTGCTTTTAGACAATCAAAATGCAATGCAAGTTACTATTTATTTACTGTCTGAGATCTAAGATTGTTGTTGTTGCTGCTGCTGCTGCTGCTTTTGCTTTTGCTGATGCCCTGTGTTGTTTCATGTCAGTGATTATGTGATGACCAATTTCACATGTGTATGCAAAAAACGAAAATAATTATTTCCATTCAATTCAATTATTTGGCTAATTGATTGTTGGACAAATTCTTGGATTTTCAAACAACCATAATAATGCTGATGTTTTGTTAAGCAATTTAATATCGTATATCGTAACCAGTGTATGTATCAATAACTGTAGTTTTGACTCGTTTTGAATATGTTTGTTGATCATAAAACTACTGCAATAAACTATCATATATAAATGTGATCGATCATGATAATGATGATTGACGACATGACCCATGATAATGGTTCAAGGTGACAGTTTTGATTATAATGATAATGTCATGGTGATTAACCCTCCACATACTCTCGACACTCTAATCTGGAAACGATGATCTATAAAGAAAAAATGATGATCATCAGTATGAATGAAAAATTCGTTAAGTTCAAGTTCATTGGCAGGATGGCAAAAAATGAAATCAACATTCATTATTCATATCAATGGTGTTTTTGTCCAAGTCTTTGAACACGAACTGTTTTTTTTTTTGTATATACGAAAAATATGTGTCTAGAGATAATCAAATCTCTTTTTAGACAATGTCATCAACCTGTGTTGATCACTCTAAATGACCATTATGGTCCAAACATGACAATCATAAACAATGAAAGTAATGTAGCTTTGTATCAAATGAAAGTAGTCATTCTTTCATTCAGTTTGACATTAGCAAATGTGTCTTTGTTCAAAACAATTGAGCAATATAGCAATAATGACATGATCACGAATAAAAAGAAAACAACAATAACCCTCGGAATATGAGGAATATTTTTACGACCGTTTGATTATAGTTAAGAAAAATGAAAATTACCAAAAATAAAATAAAACAAAACAAAACATACTTTTCAAGCAGATTTTCTGAGCATAAATAGTAAATACTGGAAATTGTGATGGTGTCAATGCATCCGGTAATTGTAATGCCGATGAACTGAGTAATACACAGAGGCCAGTTTCAAAATTTAATGAATTACAAGTTTGATTTTGGCGACAATGATCTAAACATTCGGCTAAATGTAATACCCCAGGTATCATCATTGTTACCGTATCGGTTGATGAGGTAAATACAAAACCGGTAATTAACTCGAATGTAATCGTACCGTTTGTTGTTGAGCAATCATCATAATTCAAATCGGATGATGAGACTTGAATTTGAATGAAAAAATTAGAAACAGAAATGAAAAAGTGAATTGATTGTAAAAATTCGGAATCATTGAATGAACAAAACACAAATGTTTTATTACTATAATTCGATTATTGCAATCTTACCTTGACTTTTGACCACAGATATTGATGATGATGACATTATAATGAAAAGAATTATAGTGATGATGGTGGTCGAGCCCCAGTCAATAAAAAATAATGATGATCTTGATAGGAACATATTGATTGATGTTTATCGTTTAACGTGTTGTTAATGTTCGTGACGTGAAAATTGATAATTGATAATTGAAAATTGAAAAATGAAATCACACAAAATATATGTTGTTGTATGAAGAAAAAAGTTGTTGTTGAAATCCTATATGAATGAATGTTTCGAGCACTGCGGTCACTTTGTCCAACATAAATTATTCATTATTCATTTTAATTACATTTCACAATGCAATAAATTAAAGAAGTGAAATCACACCGATAAGTTTCAATCATGGTCAAAAATCTATGATGGTGATGAAAAAATAGAAAAGTAAATTTTGATTGATTACGAATTGAGAATTCGATGATTGGCATATAAATAAATGAGATTGGTTCGATTGCCTAAAAGTTACCGTCGTTTGATTCAATATCGATTATGATAATAATCGATATTATAATAAATAAATTAATTTATTATTATTGATAGATTATTATTATGAATACTTAACACATACGTATCGAATGAAAATGTTCTTCATGGGTGATAAAAAAATCAAACGATATATGGATAAAATTGCCTCAAAGTCTTTTTAAATCTTGAAGATGAACGAAGCGAAATGAAATAAAAAAAACCAAAACTGATCAAACGACGGTAGTTTCATCGAGGTTTTTATCCTTAACATCATCATGCTGTAGCCGTCGTTCATATTGTTGTTGTTATTACCGTCGATACAGCAGCCATTGACATATAACAGGTATGATGAATGAACGAATGGTCGGTTGGTTAGAGGGAAGACACAAAGTCATTTTCGTTGTTTGTTCATTTCATTTCGGTTAGGGGTTGATGCCAGGAATAGAAGAATCTTGTTCTTATTATTTTGATTTTTAAAAAATGGTCAAAAGACGAAGGAAAGGGAGAGAGAACTCTGTTTTCTTTCTTTAATTCAATTCGTCGTTGTCGAGAAAGACCATCATAGCACAAGAACAACTCGATGAACCGTTCGATACCGATGGTGTTCACGGCTGTGTTGCCGGCGATAGGTTAGCAAAAGCCAGAGTACATCATCATACTCAACCAATCAAGCTATTTTTTTCATTTTGCTGGTATGTGAACAATATTCGTTTTGGTTGAAAACCACAACCGACGATGATGAACAAATGGCAACAGTTCTGTTGGTTAGAAAGCTAGAAAAAATGTGGCAATTCGAATTATCTGGCCAATGATGATGATGATGATGAACAAATGAACAAACGATTGAACGAAGGTAGCGAGAAAACAAAACATGGAAATGGAATCACCAATTGGAGAGTGTGCAGTATGATGATGATGTAGAATGATTGAAGAATGAACACTCAGAAAAAAGATGTCCAACAGATAATAATGATCGAATGAGTATCATCTTCAACATTTAGAGCCAGAAATAAAATAGAAGAAAATAGATTTGAAGACGATTGTGTGTAAAAACAATTGAACAGCGTTCGTTTTTTTTCTTCTTGCTTGAAATCAATCAATTGTTGACGATGAAACTATTATGAATTGATTGATTTTTGTTTTTCCATTATTGATCCGGCTTTCATTTTGATTCATTCCACCCTGAACACGATATTGGTCAGCAAATTTAATCGATACGATGATTGAAATGAAATTGAGATTTATGATCCAAATTAAATGGTTGATGTCGCATTTCTTCTAATAAATTTTTCGGTCAATTACAATCGTTCGATTCATAACGATCAATGTGAAAAAAAATATCAACAAGAATAATGTGAATAAAATAATGTTGAAAGTGGAAAAACTCAGACCGAATAATTCGGATATTGAAGGCAATTGCCAATGTTTACGTATGATACGTATTGCGGCCAATTTTTTCGATTCACTTGTCGTATCATTATGGCATCTACATATGAAAACGAGAATAATCAATCCATCGAAAAAAATAATAATCTTTGAAAACAAACACAAACCGATAAATAAAATTTAGATCGAATTTTTCAAGCGATTTGACATGAATATTGCCCAACCAATCAATTACCATTCGACCATTCGAGGAACGTTTGATGTATAATGGTGATATCCACTGTGATAATTCTTTCGATGGTTTTGGTCCATGTCGATACATTTCTTCGATGTCATAATCGAATTTAATTTTATTCCACCTTATCGGTACAATTTTACGTATATCCGATGATTGACTGAATAAAGAAAATACCATTGATTAGAAATAGAAATTCTACATCTGAATCAAAGACAAAAAACTTACAATCTGAAACAGGAAATGACTGTATATTCGTGAATTTTTCGTTTAAAATGTTCGGTCGATTGAAACATTGCTTTCATATGCATGAATGGTATCATTTTTGATTCTGATTTACGAAAACGAATCGCACTCGTATTTCGACATATTCCATATGAGATGACAATCCGAACATTCGATAGAAATTGTTTCCGAAAACTTTTCCAAACGAGTCGATCGATCAATGGGTCGGCACATGGAATTTCTGAAAATTCCCTTAGTTTATGAATTAATTGCGATTCATCATTGTTAATCGTCAAGAAAGTTTGATTCGAAACATCTGCCATTTTTACCACACAAATAAATACTTTTTGCCCAAGTGAATGATAACGATTTCGATTACATTGCGTTTCGTATAATAAATGGAAAAATATTTGTAATGTTGGTCCTTCTTCGTGGACGATGGAATATTCTTTTACAAACGTTTCAATAGGCTTGTGTTTATCCACCATATGTATGAATGTTTTTCTTTCAAAATCATGCAATATTGTCACCCGATAAATAGCCAAAATTTTCGATTGATACACGCAATAATATGTGCCACTTTTTTGTAATTTTCGTTGAACGAGCTTACCAGATCGCATTATTTGCACCACTTTTTCATTATCATTTTTAAATCGCCGAATATTGTATAATCTACTTTCATCGACTGGAATAAATTTCCATATGGAATCCAAAAGTTTATCATCGAAAAGGCAAGCATAACATTCGAATGAATATTCACTCAGATAGGGCAAAACTAATGCCTTTTTGAGTGGCGAATATTTTCTTAGTATATCTTGACATTTCTTAGTAGATGCTGTGGAACATGTTACCATCACCACCAAATAATCGATTAAAGTGATGATAATCAATGTGATGATCATCATGAATATAATAGTAAGCAATTTTATTTTAATAATAATTGATCAATGTGCGATTTTGAAATCGATCCACAACAAAATCAAATTCAATTTGTTTCTAGAATAATAATTAATGACAACACACACAATTCGACTAGCACATATCAACAGCAATAATATCGAATTTTTTCTCGGATAAAATAATAAATGATTGGTGGTGATAAATAAATGATTGAGAAATTGAGAAAAAGAGCAAGAAAAAAAAGGAAAATGTCACGTCGACCATAATAATCAATTTACATAAATAACAAAACGGAAAAAAATTAATTAATTAATGGTTCAATTATACAATCAATTTCATTTTGGTCATGAATGTTCGAATCGTTCCAATTTCAATGACCTTCGCCCATTTCAGCTTTAGCATTCAAAATGACGGCAACAATCAAACCGAAAAGACCGATGGCTGAAGCAAAAATTTCAACAATTAAAATTTTAACAAATAAATTTGGATTAGCTGCATCGGCCAATGCTGCACCCGATCCGACAACGCCAACGGCTAGACCGCAGAATAGATTACCCAGTCCGACTGTTAATCCAGCACCAAACATGACATAACCGGCTAGATAATTTTTTGCTCGCTGAACGTCGGTTACTTTGGCTTCATCAAATTCTTTGATATTATTCAACATAACGATTGCAATGATAATGCCATAAATAGCGACTGCTTCACAGAAAATGATTGATACAAGATTTTTCGTACGAATACGTGGTGCTTTCACACCGCCACCAACGATTGAAGACCCGGTGGTAAATATACCCGTAGCTGCACCGACCACCGATAATGAAATGGATAAACCGACTCCTAATGATGCCCACATGTATGGTGTCACACCTGTGATGTTAAATGATGAAACAATAATTATTTTTACAATTACAATTTATTTGAAAAGGTCAAACCTTCAAGAAGCCAGGCAACGTCACCAGCCCGACGACCACGTCCAGTAAGACAATAATAAAGTGAAATGCAAACCAATGTGAATAATGTGGTTGCCTGAAGAACATAATGGACCGATGCTGATACACTCATTTTGTGCTTTGGGTGTAAAAAATTCGGATCAATGAATCTGGTTTAATCAGAATTTTCTGTTCCAACAAAGATTTGATCATATGGAAATCAATAATGATGAGGATCGAATGTCAACGATGTGTGTGTGTGTTACTCCCTCCTACCAAATGTAAAACAAAAACAATCGAAAATGATGCTCTCTCATCTCAATCAATGCAGAAACTGAAAACACTCATGATGATAAGAATCGATAGTTTCGTTCATCACATGCCACTTGATTCTTTATTAGAATTAGAATTATAATCAAGAAACAATTGTCTGAATTTTCTTTAATTTTCAAAATTTTCAACAAAAAAAAATGTTTACCGATGAAGAAGCAAAAGTTTATGATCGACAAATTCGTCTTTGGGGTGTTCATGCTCAACAACAGATTCGTGCAACCGATGTTTTTCTTGTTTGTCTGGATGGATTAGCCACCGAAGTAGTTAAGAATTTAGTTTTAGCCGGTATTAATTCGATTACAATACTTGATGATCAACCTGTAACACAATTCGATATGTTATCCAATATATTCAGTCGTAATCAAATCGGTATGAATAGAGCGGAAGCATGTCAAAAAGCCGTCAATCAATTGAATCCAATGGTCAAAGTGAACATAAAGAATGGTTCGCTATCAACATTGTTATCCGATGAAATGGACGCAAAAAGTTTTCTTAAATCCTTCAATGTTGTTATACTCGTTAACAATGGTCTAGATATGGCTATCAAACTTAATCGATTCTGTCATGAACTTTGCATACCATTCTTTTTCGCTTGTTCGTGGGGCTATCTTTCTATGGTTTTTCTCGATCTTGCAAAACAACATAATGGCATCGATTTTATTCCAATCAAACAAGCATTCGAACGGAAAACAATCACATTGAAGAATAGTGGAAAAAACAATATTTCAAAACGTGAAATGATTAAAATAGAAAAGTTGAAAACCATTTTCCTTCCAATACTAACATTATTCCGTTATCATGATAAAAATGGTAAATTTCCCATACTTTGTGCTGAATCCGATCAGAATATGATGGAAGAAAAGTTAAAAACAATTGAAAAGGAAATTTTAAATGAATTGAATACAGCTGGCAGTGGCGACAGTCAACAACAAGGATGGATATCAACAACGACAACATTGAATTGTGATTGGCCGCGAAAAATCTATGGCCAATTTACCTTCATCAGCAGTATTGTAGGTGGATTTTTAGCACAAGACGTGATTCGTACTGTGACTGACGATGATTCGATTGATTATAATACATTTCTATTCTATGAGATTAATGGTCATAATATTAATATTGGCCTATAGTTTATGATCGATCGTTAAATGACCAAATTGATGAATGAAAGATTTTCATTTATTATCTAAAGATGAATAAACAATAATCAATAATCACCATCATCGTCATCATTATTAAATTAATAAAATTTGCTTGATCGTTTGATGAAAGAAGAAAAAATCTCATCATTATCGGATTGAATTTTTGGCCATGAAATTTGAAGAATGAGTTGTATGTGTACAATGTGTAATCAGATAGGAGGAGGATTTGATTTTTGTTTGTTGTTTTGTTTCTGATAGAAATCAATATTAAAACTGATCAATTGACATTCGATTATTAATCTGAAAATAGAATAGAATGGATGTATATATGAATGGGTGATGGTTAGTTTAGTTGTCAATTTCTTGCCTATTTGATTAATGATAAATATGCAATGGGATACCAGTAACGATAAAGTTCGAGTGCAGATTTGAAAGTGATTCATATTTTTTTCCCATTATAAAATTGGATTATATTCACATCATCACCATTCATTGTGTTTAATTCTTTTTCCTTCATTTGATCGGTTTGGCCAGAATTGATAATCACAATGACTTGTTGTTTTGTTTTGTCGTCGTTGTCTTAAGAACTTTAAAATGTCAACATTATTATTATTATCATCTTTGTTTACGTTACTCATATTCAATCATCCAATCGATTGTGATGATTCCAGCATTGAAATTCGAAGTAATCAATTAAAAAGCATTCAATCACAATTTTTGATTTCTTTTTTTTTGTTTGTTTTTTGTTTTGTCTCAGATCATATTGTTGAATTGCGAAAAGAATTGTTCAAAAATCGTGGCTATGATATCATGACAAGACCAGTGAAAAATTATACCCATCCGGTGAATGTATCCATTTATCTGGACATAAATTATATAAAAAATCTCGTAATATTCATTTGATTTTGAAAAATTCACTCAACTGATTTAATTCCTTGATTGGCAGGACATTCAAACAAATATGCTTGAAACGGAAGGATGGCTTCGGTTGTCATGGTAAAAATTGAATTTTCGGTTTCAAAAATTAAATTTTCGACCAATTTTTTAGGGTGGATGAAAATCTTAAATGGAAACGAAGTGAATATGGCGGGATAGAAGATATCCGTGTTCATGTGGATGAAGTTTTCCGTCCGGATATTACGATTATCAATTCGGCAGATAGTGAAAATATTATTCGGTCAACGACACATTCTGATTTGATTCTCTGGTTTTCTGGCGATATATTCTGGATGCCAGCATTATCGATGAAAACGATATGTGAAATTGATCTAACTGAATGGCCATTTGATGAACAAACATGTTTGTTTCGTTTTGCTTCATGGACCTATGATGGTGATGCATTAAATTTGGTTAATGTTTGTAAGTTTTAATTGATTGTTGATCGATTGGCACAAACAAATTTTTGTTCCTTTACCAACCATCTATGTTGCAATAGCCGACAAAATTGATTTGACCAGTTTTTCAGAAAATTCTGAATGGGATATAACCGATTCATCATGTGAATATATGGTGCATGATACTAATGAAGGTGGACAATTTTTTCCCGAAGTAGTTTTTTCATTGAACATCCGTCGTAAAACATCAATTTATCGTTACGTTGTATATTATCCGGTGATCAGTGTATTATTTTTAAACCTGATGGCATTATTCTTAGATGTACGTAATACGTTACGTTTTCATCTAAGCACATTATCTTTTGTCACATTATTATTGGTGGCATTGTTTTTGGGTAATAAACTTGGATTTGGTTCATTGGGTATACCTAAAGTCAGTATGTATCAATTTCATTTTCGATTTCTGGCACAAAACATTGTTTCTCATTGGTTTTTTTTTGCTTCGAACTTATAAATATAGTCAAATACATTGGTCAGATGATTATGATGACAGCATTCACATTACTTTGGTTTGCATTCTCAGTGAATTTTATACGATCAACATTTGAAATACCATCGATAATAATGCGTACAATTGAACCATTACAACACTATCTTGTCAGCAAAGATATTGAATCTGTACAATTGACCAATAATGATTTGGAAAATCAGAATTCCGGTGGCGGTCAGCATAATCAAACATTGGCTAAACATAAATCAAACATATCACAATCGAATCTAATCATCGTACAAATTGTGGATAAAATTCTTTTTGTTCTCTTTTTCATTCTAATCATCATTTTACACAATTGAACCATCCATTCTTTCGATTGGCTATTGATGTTTATTTTCTACTCATACTCAAGCTTATGAAATGATTGAATTGAATCAAAATTGAATAAAGTTACAAATAAAACATGAGTCAATTAATTTTCTATCATTTATAATCCAATATTTGGTCACTATAGTGTGAAATGGGCGTTTTTCTTTTCCGATAGATGGTTAATGAACTGATGAGCTCATGCATGTAATCATTTTATTCAATGCGTTGTAATTAATCATAAACTGTCGACATGGCTAATTTTCCTCAATATGGATGGGAGTTTCGCTTTCTATCTTGATCATCAAGTCATCATCAGATTCGTTAATCATTATGCGATGAGCCAGACAATTTTTTTCCAATTCAGTCAACCATGTTAAATGTTACGATTAATAATCAGGAACAAATTTGCAATAAAAAAATATGCGAATTAACAAAATTTGCAAAATTTAAATTTTCAATTTGTCGATACTATCGATAGTATTGAATTTGACTCGTATATAACAATATTGTTAACATTTTAACAATGTATGTATATTGCACATTCTCATCGATGATCATCATTGGAAATATTTTGTCAATGCAAATATAAATCATCGAAAAGCAAATAGGCTTGGCTTGCCAACGTTAACATTCTTTTTTGTTCATGATTAATGTCCGTTATCATCATAAAACGTTGGCTAAGTTATAGTCGAAATTGTATTGTAAATTTGTACCTAGAACGATCGCAACAACCCAACTACTGCCTTGTATTATTATCAAAAATCCACGGATTCTCATTGACATATAGATTTTTTAATAATTGTAAAATGTATGATTGGAACAATTTACCACGACCAAATGTGATATTCGTACTTGGTGGTCCAGGTGCCGGTAAAGGTACCCAATGCAGTTTGATTAGTAAGGTAATGCAACAAATGTGATGATATAAACCGAATAAAACCAGTCTTGCCCTATTTTTTATCATTAGAAATTTGGCCATGTGCATTTATCAGCCGGTGATCTACTTCGTAAGGAACAAAATACAGCAGGTTCGCAATATGGTGAATTAATAGCTGAACATATTAAAAATGGAACAATTGTACCGGTGGAAATTACATGTAAACTGTTGATGAATGCAATGTTGGAAAATATGATTTCACTGGCTAAAGTGGTCAATGGCACTGATAAGCCAATAGCTGTTGGAAATTTCCTTATCGATGGATTTCCACGTAATCAAGATAATTTGGATGGTTGGCAAAAATTTGTTGGTGATAAAGTTAAAGTTGAATTAGTTTTAGTGTTTGAATGTCCGGAGGAAGTGTATATTGCACGTTGTTTAAAACGTGGACAACATTCCGGACGTGCTGATGATAATCCGGAATCAATGAAAAAACGATTGGATACACATCTAAATCAAACAATGCCTATCGTTAAATATTATGAAAAACTCAATTTAGTCAAACGAATTGATTCAAGCCGTAGTATCAAAGAAGTACACGAAGAATGTTGCAAAATTTTACAATCATTAATGGGTAAAAAAAATTGAACTGAGCCAATCGATAAATTCGTTCGTTTATTTTTCTATTTCTATTTGAACAGAAAAGAATTCATCATTAAACTTTCAACTTTTCGAAAATGCCATTTTCTCTAAATTTATTTGCGTTCGCTTATTTATGAACTGTTCTTTTTTGTTTTGTTTTCAAGCAAAAATCACAAACGCAACTCGTTGCCAAATTATTTCTCAACAATGTGTGTGTGTCTGTGTAGTTTTAGGCGCGATTTTGATTGTTCATTTCATTTGTTGTCAAAACTTTATTTCGACGCAAAATAATGGATGTCTGCGAATTTATTGCCGAAGACGATCTTATTGAAATTGTTCCTACATTTCGTTATGATCGTCAATTAAATTTGATTACCGGAGATTTTGGTCCATTTCGTCCATCGGTACCGGTCAAAGTGCCAATGTGGCTGGCAATCAATCTACATCGGCAGAATAAATGTTCAATAATATCACCATCGTGGGTGAACAATCTGCCACGGCTTCAGGATGAACAGGAAAACGAAACTACACGATTACTTCCACCGCCGGATTTACATTGGAGAGAAACATTAAAATTATTGGAACAAGAATTTGGACGTAGTATTCAATGTTCCGATCTGATTGAACGACGTGAAGCAATATTGAAAAAATCTGTCCATGAATTATTCCGTGAAGCATACGAAAAAAATACAATGTTCATTGGTGATGTAACATTGGATAATGCTACACCGGCAGAATTAATATTAGTCAAAGAAATGATTGCCAAAGGTTTTAGACGTCTACAAGAATTACGTCGTAATGTATTATCGGCATCGAATCGTAAACATTATTAACAATTCAACGTCAATTACAAATTACAAATCAAATAAATACGTAATGGGCAGCTTGTTTGTTTGTTTTATTCAAAATCAATCATCTGCTGAAATACATTCATACAGTACAGAGAAATTAAACTTTGATTGCAATAAAATTTGTTCAATTTTTTTGTTTGTACGTGCTCTTAATATATTGATTGATTCAAATTGAATTCAATTCATTCGCCCCCTATTTCATGGTGTGCAAATTTTTTCAACAGAAAAAAAATTCAAATCAAAATGTCAACGTAACATTTTGTCTACGTTGCTTGCTCATGAATAAAACGTTTCACTTTTTTTATGTCATGGATTCAAGTGTAACCCAATTGGGTACGATAGATAAATTTTCCATACACATAGAGATAGTGAGGTTAAACTATGCTCTTTTGTTTCAATTTTTGTTTTCAACAACAAATGAAAACGAATGGAAAAAGAAATAAATGTCGTGATAACAATCAAATGCGAATATTTTGTGTCATGCACGTATGTCTGTGTACATTCGAATGTTTTCATGTGTGAGTGGTGGCTATTGACATGGAATGATGATAAAATAAAAGTTTTCTTTTTTTCTTTTTTCGTTTGTTATCATTCAAATGTTGAAAGTTGTCTGCTATCTGTGTTTAATGTAACATACAATGATGACCACAACAAAGCAAAGTAACTATGTTTTCTTGTTTCCATTAACGTCTTAACTGTTTTTTTTTTTGTTTTGTTTTTGCTTCGTTCCCTTTTCTATTTTGGAATCAATCATGTTTTTCAAAACGTAAACACACACGCAATCGTCGTAACGATTTGTACCTGATTTCTTAATGATAAGCCTTGATTAAATGAATCATCATCATTAATGTAATTTGAAGAGAAAGGAAAAGTGATAATCTCACAAAATTGTGATGTGATCAATGTTATCATCGAATCTTATTAATAATAAAGATGGTGAACATCGCCACAAACATTCTATATATCGAATGGTGTTCAATCTACAATACTTTCAAATCAAATTTACGATAAGCACTCAGCTTGCTTTATGATATGTGAGATTTTTTTCCTTATTGATTTTTTAGCCCGCATAATTTTTGGTGTCAACACACAACACAAAGCCAATTTATAATTTGTGATTCCAAAGCAGAAAAACATGTTTAAAGAAAAAATTCTACCAAAATTAGTGCTACTAAATACACGTCTGGTACTTGGAACATATACAGCACTCACATTGCCATTCTATACAATTTACCAAAGACCATGGCGTGTATTGAATGCATCGAAAAAGCAATGGGCAACCAGGGAAAAATCATCAGATGGTTCATATTATTATTGGAAACGATTAGGACCACCGGTTACATTGCCAAATGATTATCATCTTTGTAATACATTACAAGAAATCTATGTCAAAATGAAACAATTTGAAGATTTGGAAAAGAATAAACTTGGCTATCGTGATGTGTTATCTGCGCAATTGAAATTTGATTCAAAAGGTTTGGTTGATTTTCTTTTTTTCATTCAATAAAAATTTTTTTTTTTCAAAACCAACCAATAGGACAACCAATCAAACAGGATGGCCGCGTGATCAAAGAAATCAAATTAGCCGATCATTATACCTGGCTGAAAACGAAACAAGTATTTGATAAATTTGAAATGGTCGGATCCGGTTTCAAACGATTGGGTCTTGGATCAGATGACCGTGTCATTATGTTTGCCGACACACGTATTGAATGGTTTATTGCATCTTTTAGTTTGATGTTGTTTCAGATTCCAATCGCAACCTTGTTTTCAAATTTGGGTAACTGCTTTCGGAAAAATGTTTCATAATTAATCTGAAACTTTTCTCCATACAGGCAAAAAGGGATTCGTGTTTGGTGTGAATCAACAAAAAGCCAAAGTGATAGTGACTTCGTATGATCTACTCGAAAGAATTCATAGTGTTATCGATCAGATGCCATGTGTTGAGAAAATTGTTTATATGCAATATGATTTTCAAAAAACGCAGCAAATACCTAAATTTCCTGATCATATACAATTGATACCGTTCGATCAGCTGGAAGAAATGGGTCGAAAATCATCGATAAAAATACCGGATAAATTACCAAGTGCTGATCAAGTATCGGTAATAATGTATACATCTGGTACAACCGGTATACCAAAAGCGGTAATGTTTACGAACAAACAATTAATATCTGCCGTATTAAGCTTGGCAAGTAATGTGCTGGAAATCGCTGATCAAGGTCCACGTCATATGTATGCATCATTTTTACCATTAGCACATAGTCTTGGATTTACATTCGAATGGTTTCTGTTTTGTGGCGGTGTTTCAATCGGTTATAGTAGTCCATATACACTGACCGACACATCACCGGGTAATCCACCCGGACAATTGGGTGATCTTAAATTGCTTCAGCCTACAACATTGGTTAGTGTGCCATTAATTCTTGATCGAATCGTCAAGGAAATCTATCTAAAACTTTCTGCACGTTCACCAATTCTTCCACCGTTATTCACATATCTAATGCAATATAAAACACGTTGGATTGATCGTGGTTATCGTACACCAATATTGGATAGAATTGTTTGTCGTCGTGTACAGGAACAATTCGGTGGTAAATTAGAATTCATTATCTGTGGTGGTGCTGCATTGAATCGGAAAACTGAAGAAATTATTCGTGCAGCTTTGAATGTTAAAGTCATGACTGGTAATTTTTTTCTGTTTCGAAATGCAACGTATTCACAATGTTTTATTTTTTGCCTAGGTTATGGCTTGACAGAAACGACAGGCGGTGTAACGGGGAAACATTTGGACGACATGACTTCCGGGTTTGCTGGTGTACCTATGGAAGGTGCATTTATTCGTTTGGTCGATTGGAAAGAAGGTGGCTATACATTCGATGATAAACCGAATCCACGAGGTGAAGTTGTCATCGGTGGTGAAAGTGTTGCACAAGGCTATTATCAACTTGAAGATGAAACAAATGCTGTATTCAAAACGGATTCGAATGGCATCCGATGGCTTTATAGCGGTGATATTGGTGAAATATTACCGAATGGTCTTTTAAAAATTATTGATCGTAAAAAAGATTTAGCTAAATTACCGAACGGGGAATATGTTTCACTGGGTCGTATTGAAACAGTGATCAAAACAGCACCGATGGTCGAAAATTGCTGCATTTGTTTACATGATAAAATCAATGATATTGTTGCTTTGATAACTCCTAGTGTTAAACAGTTGAAAATTTTGGTCGAAAAATTGAACAAAGCTAACCTTACACATGAACAAGTGTGTGCAGATCCAGAAATAAAACAGGCCATCATGGAGGATATTCGTCAAGTTTGCCAGGCTTCAGGTCTACATGATAAAGAAATTCCGACACGAATAACAATTTGTCACGAAGAATGGACACCGGATAATGATCTACTGACATCGGCATTTAAACTGAAACGTAATTCAGTATTGAAATATTATGCCAAAGATATTGAAAAATTGTTTCAACCAACAAAGCTGTGAATGGAAATTCCTAACAAGATTTGTGACGAGAGAAACAAAAATTATTGTAATTAATTTAATTTAATAATTTAATCGTACAATTTCCTTTTTTTGTTTTTAATTGATTCCTTTTTATTATTTTTTGATTATTGACTACACACAAAAAAGTAATGGTCTGCGAGTAATCGCAAACGACATACGACTAGATGACTGACTATCGATATATCCACAAGTGTTTATATTTAATTATTATGAACAATCAATACACAATTTTCAATCATATTGATGACCTTTTTCAATTGCAATATTTTGATCGTTTTTGTATACAAAATCTCAAATTCAAATTTCAGAATCTGACCATTCATATAGTATGTTTGAATATACAGTAATACCTCGCTTAAGCCAAACAGCGCCATATTAACATGCAAATGCTGCAGTGCTCCAATGGGGTGGCTAATATCCATTAGAGGGAGGTAATCTGTTTTTATTTTTGATCTCTATTCTTATCTTATCATTTATGTAATCACCAAACACACATTATCAGTATCTGATCATTCTACGGTTGTTTAGCTATTAGCTAATAGAATTTTCAAACAAATCAATAATTTTTTTACAGCTTTAATCTGAAACCGACAGCGTTAATCGGGGTATTACTGTATTTGTTTCAGCAAAAAAAAAATTCGAACCATCTGGATTTGGAAAGTTAACAATTGATCGTCATCTTTCACCAACGATATAGCAAACTGTTGCTTGTTTTTTATTTCTATTATTATTCAATTGTTATTTTATTATTTATTATTGATTTAATTTAATTGATTGAGAAGGGATTGTATATAATATAAAAATTTAATCACCTTGTTGTCAATGGTGATTGATTATTATTACCTTTATTCTGTTGTTTTGTTGTGCGTGAAACCATCACTTTCGAGGTTTTGCATACCTGTTAGATTGTCGTTATTTTCACTTATCAACCACCGACTACAAATCAATCACATTTGATCAATAGTAGTATTAGTTTTTATCCAACAAGAGCAAGTCTGCTTATTTTCTTTGTGTTTGTGTCCTTGTAAATTAGAAAGAAACCAAAAATGGTTCTATCAAATCTGGTTACAAGTTTAATGAAAAATTTTCTTTCGCCATTTGTTGAAGATTTTAATGCCGATCAGTTGAATATATTTGGATGGAGTGGACAATTTACATTGTCGAATGTAAATATCAAACCGAATGCATTCGATTCATTACGGCTGCCATTTCGTGTTACACATGGTTTTATTAGCCAAATCGAAGCTCAAGTACCATGGATGAATATCTATACCGAACCGATTGTCATACGAATCAGTGATGTATATGCTGTCATTGTGCCAAACACTGAAATTGCATATAATGAAAAAGATGAAAAAGATTATGAATGGCAGCTGAAAAAATCTTATCTTGAAAATATCGAACAAATCAAACAAAAACTTGAACAAGAATCAGATGGCTCATCCAAGAATGAAGATGATGGTTTTTTCATGAAATTAATCGCTGCTGCCATTAAAAATATTCAGATATTCATATCAAATATTCATGTTTGTTACGAAGATAGCACATCTAGTTCACGGCCATTTCAGATTGGATTGGTATTTTCACGACTAGTCTTTGAAACTGAATCGAGTAATAATGTCAAAAATGGATCTGTCGATAATATTATCAATAAGATTATCAAACTTGAAGGTTTCGCATTCTACCTGAATTATCGACAATTTGATCGTTATCATGGTCGGGATCGACAATGGGCATTGGCCAAATTGAAAGCATATTTCGTCAATAATGAAACGAAAATGGTCAATTATATTCTTTGTCCAAATGATTTTGTTACCTATGCACAGATTGATCGTAGACCAGAAGTATCGAATTATAGTCATGCAATCATCAATTTAGATATGCATTTGGGTGATTTTCAAATTAAATTCGATAATCATCAAGTACATTGTCTGCTATTACTATTGGATGCTATTGATCGCATTAAAGTGGCTAGTTTATATCGAAAATGGCGGCCCACCATATCGATTAATGGTAGTAAAATAATTTGGTTATTAATCTGTTCGTATTAATTAAACATTTATTTATATTTATTATTCATTTCCAGATAATCCTCAAGCATGGTGGCGATTCCTATATTTAGCCATAACAGAAACTGGCATCCGTCGACGGAAACGAGAATTTTCTTGGGACCATATTGAAACCGCTTGTAAACTTCGAAGAAGATATCTAGATCTATACAAACGAAAATTACTTGGACAACAAAAAATTGATGAAGAACTTGAAGAATTGGAACGAGAATTGAATCTAGTCGTTATTGTTATTGTCAGAGCTGAAGCTGAATATGCGACGAAAAAAATTCTTAAAGAAATGGAAAAAGAAAAATCAAAAAGCGGCTGGTTTCGCAGTTGGTGGTCATCGGGCAAAAATAATAATGAAAAATCGGTTATTGAAGATTTGAAAAAAGAATTCACCGAAGGTGAAGAAAAGGAAAAACTATACAAAGCAATCGGTTATGAAGAGAATGCATTGGCCATACTATATCCACCAGATTATGTTGCACATCGAATTCAGTTTCGTATTAATCGTTTTAATGTTACCCTTCGGAGTGAATTCGAAAATATAGCCATCGTCGAGTTGGAAAATTGTAGTTTTGGCTTTAAAAATCGTCCCTGTACCGGTAATATTGTTATTGATAATGAAATTGATTCGGTTCGAATAACCGGTACTAACGATGTGTCATTGATGAAAAGTACGGTGGAAAAGAAATTTCTGACATTCGCGTTTGAATTGAACCCGTTGGATAAACAAAGTGATTTTTCTGTGTTATTGGAAATGAAAAGTCTACACTTTCTTTATGATATTCAAACATTCAATCATCTTTTTCGCCTATTTACTCCGCCCGATAATATTAGTTTGAATGAAATTAAATCGGCTGCCCAAAATAAATTTGAAGATCTTCGTTTGGTCACATCATCACAACTTCAAAACGCAATCGATAAACACAAACAGTTAAAATTACAGATCAAAGTTGAACCATCATTTGTGATTATACCGAAAAAAGCAGAATTCGATAAAGCAAATCTTTTTCTCCTTGTTTCGTTGGGCGAATTCACATTAGTATCGAAATTGGTGCCAAAATCCAATGCAACACGAATAACCAGCATGACCAATAAGGATGAAATGAAACAATTGATTTATGAAACCTATACTTGTCACGTGAAAAATGTTCAAGTTGTTCTTAGTTCTCGAGATTATTGGCAACAAGATCTTCGTTGTTTGGATACCGAACGTCATATTCTTTGTCCATTCGAAATAATCATAAATTTTCAACATTCAATCGTGCCTAATGATCGTCATTTTCCAAAGATTAATTTACAAGGTCAATTACCATCGATTGATTTGAAAGCTAGCGATAGTCAAGTATCACAGCTTTTGGTTCTTTTATCTACTCTACCTTATGGACCAACTTTTGAATCGAATACAGATTCCTCCTATCATTCATTGACAACAACATCGGCGGCTACAAAATCAACAACATCAGTTTCAAAAGTGAAATCGAAAGTAACAGATGAAGTTATTGATGCAATGAATTATGCTGCTCGTGCCGTATCGGAAATCAATAAAAGTAAAGAATCAAAATGTGAAGAAGATGTTGTCGATACAAAAGGAACAATCATTGCCTATCGAGAATTGATTTTTAGTTTCAAATTAAACGATATAAATCTAACAATGTATCGTAATGATCGTCGTGATGTATCCAAATTGACTAGATTTCAATTATTGAAACTTTCTCTTTACGGTGAAACTTTAAGTGATCAAACACTATGGGTCAATTGTACTGTTTGTGATTTACGTATCGATGATATTCGACCACAACGAAAACCAAATGGTATCGTAACAATGTTGTCAAAATCTCGTGTAATCGCTACTAAACAACAACAGAATGTTCAAAATAATGAAATGGAAGAAGAAGAAAGATCAATGCTTACAGTTTATGTTGCACAGAAAATCAACGAAAGAATAGTGATTTTAACCATGTCTGGATTTAGTCTTATATTGGCCGTTGATTATATTCTGGCATTGTTGGATATAACAACCAAAGCATTCTCAATGGATGATTCAAGTGCTATAAAAACTTTATCAACTGAAAGTAACGCGGCAAAAAATCAACCCACAAAACCTTCTCCAACTACTGTACAGAAAAAAGATGCAAAAAATTCCAAGATGATGGTTGAATGTTCGCTAAATAAGATGGAAATTTTTATGCTCGAATCGATTGATAATTCAAATTGTGAAGCCGGTGTTTTCAACTGTTCAACCAAAGTGAACGTGAAAATTGAAGAAGATGTTATCATGATGAGTGCATATATTGCCCAGATTAATATGGCATTGACAAATTATCTAAATTATATTCATTCCGGTCATCTTGATGTCTACATTATGGCACCAACTGATCTGACCATAAAAGGATCGATTAAAGGCACGACACAAATGTTGGATTTTACATTCGATGACATCTTCATAAATATATCGCCAAACATGTTGCATACGATTCTGAATATTCTTGCAGCTATGGGGGATTCACCTGCACCACCTGATAAAACCAACGATAAGAATGACAAAATAGATGTTGATGATCGTATTCTTGAGCCGAAAAAAATTGATAAAAATCTATGGTACTTATCATATGCACCACAAGCAAAAGATGCTCTTATATTATTACAGGAATGTGAACAACAACAATCAGAACAAAAAAGTAATCTTCTATTCAATATGGGCAAGATTCATGTACTTATAAAATCCGGTGGTGTTGAATCACATCCATTGATTCGAATCGAATTGTCGACATTTGCCAAATTGATCGAAAATAAGAATTTCAATTTTGAATGTTCATTATCTGCCGATTATTACAATCATTCAATATTATCATGGGAACCATTGATTGAACCAGTGGATGAACGAATATTTACTTTTCGCGGCAATGTTGCACTCGGTGGTGAGACGAAAAAGATTCAGATTGTAGCACTCGAAAACCTGGAATTGTTATTGACAAAATCATCGGTAAATGTATTGAATCATGTAAATGAAGCTTTCACTACTGCCATAAAAACATCCAAACAATCACAAATGGCTGAATTGAATCGTGTAATAGTAAAAAATTATCTCGGGGTCGATATTAATCTATTAATGAATGAATCAAACATTTACCCGTTAAATGATGGCCAAAATAATCATACTAATCGGAAAAATCAACAATCAATCAATGCTGCTGCTGCTATGATGATCGTAACTGGTAAAGAATATCGTTTCTCTTGCAAAGATACAAATGATGTACGATTGCATGTGAATCTTTTGATTTCTGATTCGCTATCGGTTGAAAGATTGATTATATGCAGAAAAAGTACCATTCGTTGTTATTTTACATCGATTAAATGTTATCCAGTGGATGAATGTTGGAAATTTCTTGTTCAAGTTATCGATAGTGGTGGAACAAAGGAGATTATATTCCGTTCGAATACACAAGTATTTAACAATTTTGATAATTCATTTGAAATGTATAACTTTGTCGATGATGATTACACCTATCTTGGACGTATTAACCCACATTCATCGTTTCATCTACCAATGCCATTAATATATGGTGAAAACACATTATATGTAAAACCATCCGACGACTATGAATTATGTCGGCCACCATTTTTATGGCGTCAAACACGTGAACGTGAACATAATAATCATTGTAAAATTTCACCTAAAAAAGAAAAACCATATGTGTTGATCAAATGTACGAACAAAAAGACTGATAAGCAATTTGTGATTAAGCTACGTGGTGAAAAAACACTTGTTTCATATGAAGACACGGATTGTGTAGAAAATAATGAATCCTATTTCTACACAGTGCGAATGATACCGTTAGCACGATTGAAGAATCTACTTCCATATACCATACGATTTTTGTATAGTCCATTGAATGAGCTACGTACATTGGAACCAGGTGAAGAATTCAATTTGCCATTCATCGATTTCGGAAATTCAGGTAAGTCTTGTTTCTTTATGCTCTAAAATTAATTATCGTCTTTCTGATTATCATTTTGACAGTGATAAAATTTCATCTTTTAAACTATTTGAATTGTGATTGGATGACCTGTCTGAAGATTCCACAAACCGGTTTCGAAATATCAACTACATATTGTATATTTGAACCGACTAATAAAGATTTTGGGAAAAAAGTGAAAATTACGTTACCTGTCGAATTTCGAGTGGAAAATTCCGTAATTGTTTTGTCATTATATTCAACATTTTGGGTGATGAATCGAACAAATGAAACGATACATTTAAAAGTGGATGATTACAACAGATATCGATTTGATCATAATCAAATGCGGAAGCCCTTTTTGTTCGATTATGATCCAGATAAAGTTTCGAAGAAATCAAAAATCAGTCTTGCCATTGCTGAATCAGAATTTTCCGTTTATTTTCCCGTTGATGTAGCTCCATATAAAGTGACTTTAACTCCCAAAGTACCTAAGCAAAAGTATTCATATCTCGTTGCAATACGTGTTGGAGCATCCAGAATTTCATTGACGAGAATCATCAATGTTGAACCATTTTATTCGATTATAAATCTGACAAGACAAAATATTTTCTATTCAGAAAATAATGAAGATTGGTCCCATATTGAATCAAATCGTTTGATGCCATTCTATCCGAAAAAAGCATCCAATCAAAGTATTTGTTTTCGTTTGCCAAACGGGCAATTTGATTCCAAACATATTTCATTGCGAGAATCATCACAAACATTATTATTGATTGATAAGAAATTCATTTTTGTCGAAGTTGATGTCACCGAATTGGAAGCGAAAATTCGCCTAAATGAATATTTTGATGGCGCTGCACCGGTATTGATTGTGAACACTTTGAAATATCCTGTCTTTTTTGGTCAAGATCAGGTTACAGATTGGGATAATGGAAGACGTATGCTAATCATGCAACCAAATCATATGGCATATTTTTGTTGGTTGGATCCATATAAATCTCGAAGACTTGTCTATAAAATTTCATTAGAAGATGACGAATTGATTGATGTTAATATTGATTTCGATACGATCGTTAATTTTGAAGAAGGCTATTCATATGTATCATTTTTGGATGGTAAACAACGTGTCTTGTTGTTCACACAGGATAATTCATTGCCACGTAATCTTCTCATGGTAATATTGAAATTAGTGATATACTGCTTTTAATTAATTAATAATCAATAATTGATGCTTATTCTATTTAATTGTTGATTATGATCAGACACATGAATTAATGAAACCCGACCTGTCATTTGAATTGATACTCAAAGGATTTGGCCTGAACATTGTGGATAATGAAAAACGAATTGATCTGATGTATTTATCGATAAAAAGTACAAATAATTGGGAATATCGTAATGATGAACATAAACCATTCAAAGCGGTTTCAATCAAAGAGAATGATATATTAGAACACATGTATCAACATTATCTTTTGAAACAATCGAATAGCCGTGCAACGGTAATCAAATCTGATTATTCAAATTATGAGACCGATTTCTCCCGTATGACAATGTTGAGACCACGGCTTTGTTATCTTAGGTAAGTTTGTCTTACAATTACAATTTACATCTTGATTATAATTATAATAATCTTTCATAAATACGTAATGAAGACGTAATACAAATCGTGGATTATGGGTAACATTTACTAGCTCGGAACATGTAAAAAATATACATGTACGCATCAATGGTATACAGATTGATAATCAACTATCCGATCATCTTTATGCTGTTGTATTCAGTCCGGTTGATATACCGAAATCGATTTCGGATAAATATGAAATCGAACGTAAACATTTTGTTGAATTTGCTGCCATCATTTGTCCTGGTTCGATCAATCGATATAAACATATACAACTATTGATTCAAGAATTTATGCTACAAATTGATCTGGGTTGGATTTATAAAATTGCAAATGTATTCGATATTAAATCCGCTAAAGAAGAAACGAACAAAGAATTATTAAAACATGATATGGATATTATTGAACGATACAATAGTCCTGATGAATTGCAGAAATATGTAATGAACAAATCATATTATGATTTTATAATGTTTGGTCCACTTAAACTACATCTGAACATTAATTTGAGAGATGCTTCGGATGGACAATCATTTTTTCTATTGGAATTACTCATCAGATTAATGGGTTCAGTTGGCGAAATTAGCGACACACTATTCCGGTTCGATTACTTTGAACGGAAAGGTCTATTTTTGGGCCAAGAAGAATTGGTTAAACAAGTTACCGATCATTATAAGAATCAAGCGTTGACACAATTTTATAAATTGATTCTTGGATTAGATATCATTGGTAATCCAATGAAATTAGCTTTGGGTTTTAAAAAAGGAATCGGCGATTTTTTCTATGAACCCGCTGTCGGAATATTTCATGGACCGGATGAATTTGCCGAAGGAATAAAAACTGGTGTAAAATCCTTAGCATCGAATGTGATTGGTGGAACGGCTGGAGCTTTAAGTCGTATCGGAAATAGGCTGGGAACTGGCGTAGCTACATTGACTATTGATGAAAAATTCCAGAAAGATCGTCGTGAACGTATGAATCGGAAGACAACGTTTACTGAAAGTGGGAAAAATCTATTTAAAGGAATATTCTCCGGTATAACCGGCGTGGTTACAAAACCGATCGAAGGTGCAAAAGAAGAAGGTGTTGGTGGTCTTTTCAAAGGTGTCGGCAAAGGTGTTGTCGGTATTTTCGCACAGCCAACCACAAGTGTTATTGATTTTGCATCTGGTTCATTACAAGCATTCAATAATGCTATTGATCCGAAAAAAATTGCTCAACCAGCACGTATGGCACGAAATTTCAATCGAGAAGAAATACGACCATATTCACATCAAGAAGCTAATGGTTAGTTGATTGTTGAATCTATGGATTTAAAAAAATTACTTTGTTTTATTATTATGTTTAGGATATTGGCTTTTAAAGACCGTTACGGGAGATAAATATAAAAATGATACATATGTTTATCATGCATATGTATCAAATAATTCAACTATACTATTGACAGATAGACATTGTTTCTGTTTGAAACAATCATTCATATCGAATGAATGGGAGTTAGATTGGTTTGAATCATGGTCAAACATTAAGGATGTCCATTTGGACAGACATAATAAACTTCATCTACAATTAAAGGTATGTTATCATAAGACACGATTTTTTTTATCGAATCACGACAATAATGATCATTTATTGACAATGTGTCTTTCTGTATGTGTTTCGTAAGGCTAGACACATTCTATAGATATAAGAATTGATCATTTTAGATACAGGTCCCAATTATGATTGACAATTGTTTAGGATATAATCTAATTTTTTTGCTGTTTGTTTTTTGTCATCAAAAAGATAATCTTATACCAGTAGCCAAAAAATTTAATTTTACCTGAGTAATCGGTGTATAAATCAGATCAGTGATTGTAAACCGCCATGTCATTTAATAATTATACATAGTTAGAGTTAGAGTTTCTTAGTTTTTATACTAAACACACATTCATCAATGAGAGCTAAACGATAAAAAGTTTGAAAATCGCTGAAACAAACATATAGAGACAATGGGGCGAGAAAAAGACAATGGCTCATCAATGCTAATGGGCTATCATCATCATCATTCCAATTCGTTTCACTCATCACGACGAATTGAATTACACTTATTATTATTATTATTATTATTACTAGTATTAGTATTAGTAGTATATTATATGGCACCAAAAGTAAAAAAAAATTGCCTTTTCTTTCCAAGTAGTTTATATGGGGGTGGGTATAATCATCAATATCATCTCGCACATGCTACATGCTGTTGTTGCATCAACTCAATTTAGAACATTTTCCATCATTATTGTTATATATGGTGGTGATCAAGAGAGGCAAATGAGATCATTTTCAAACCATAAAGTTTGAATCATTATGCTAGTGAAAATATTAGTGAATTCATTTTTTAGATTTTCTTACTACTAAATTGGTTATTTAGTTTTTCTGTTTTACTTGTTTGTTTACGATGATGATGATGTTAAAAAAATATCATATTTCAAAGCATATAATTTATTAATTTATGATTTATTATCGGCAAAATGAAGATTGTCTTCGATAATTTTTTAACAACAAAAAAAGATTGTCAACCTCTACGGCCCAGAAAATCGATGATGACAGAAAATTTAAAGTCAAAGGTTCTCTTATTCAAATAATAAGTTTAGTCATTTTTTCCCAAATCCTTTTGTTTTTTACTTTTGACACACGAATGAATTCAACAACAAACACACCGGAATACCTGTTGCGATCACTGATTATGATGGTTAAGACCGACGACACATTATCATCTCTATTTGTGATCATTTTTTACACTCACATATTACCCCATTGTATTTATTAGAAAATCTTTTTCTTCATATAAGAATCTAAAACACTGAGCAAGTTGAAAAAGAGAAGAAAATGAAGACAATTACTACTGACAGCTATAATTATTGTGTGTTTGTATGAAAAAATATCATTATCATTACCATTAGCATTAGCATTACCATTATTATTTGTCGGGTGTCTTATTTTCATCATTATCAACAGTAGTCGGTAGTGGTAGAGAGTAGGTAGCCTTTTGTGTTGATTTCTTATTCACTTCTCAATTGCGACTGATGACTGTAATTATTTAAATGTTTGTTTTTTTTTTTTTTTGTTTTTGTTTTTTCGTTTGATCTATGTGATTCTATCTGAATATACATTTTTTTCTCATTTTGATTCACACACAGATGATGACCAAAAAAAATTTCACTCTAAATCCGCTGGAATCATCATTATCATCACCCAACGAACGTATAATTGTATTCAGTGCAAACATCAAAAATCAACAACATCAGAAGCAACATCATATAATGAAGGTAAGTGAGAATTTCTCATTTTTTTGTTTTTTTCGTTTTTTTTTTTGAAGATTGGGAGTATTCATTTCTCAATTATTTATGTGATGTGTGTAGGTGGTGGCTGGGGGTAGTGGATATGTCTAATGTTTAATTTAAAGTTCAGTTTACTTTTTTTGAAAAACAAAAGTGTATCTTTTAAAGATGTTTAAATGTTTGTTGTTGATTGTTGATTTATTGGCCCGTTGACCATTGAGAGAGATGGAGGATATTTAGTGTATATTTGGTTATGAAGAGAATATATTTGAGTGACATGTTAAATTTACCAAGGGTGACATTTTGATCAATGGACAGTAATCATCGTCATCATAATCATTTTGATTGTATGTGTGAATAATTTTTGACACATTTGAAAAATTAATGACTTGACCTCTCTCTCTCTCTCTGATACCAATGATGATGATGACGACGATTTTATTTTCCAAAATTAATCCACTTCTCTTTGAATCAATTTTTTCTGAATTCTTTTTTATTTGTGATTTATATTTAAAGTACTAGAATTTTACTTCATTTGTGTTTTTAAATGAAAAAATGATGATGATTACAAGGAAAAAGATGGACAAGAAAAAAGCATAAAGTAATGATTCGGTTTTTTGTTTTTGTTTTTGTTTTTTGGTCTGGAACAATAAAATTTTTTTGAAAGCTAAAAGATTCTTTTTTCAAAAAATATTGTTTTTCCCTTTGAATGAACTATATATTTCTTGTCTCTTGTTGAACTTTATTTTCAGAATTTGTCCATTTTTTGATTTAATGATGCGCGCCGGTCATAAAATACCATTATTTCGAACCAAAGGGGAAAAACATTTTTTTCCTTGTTACAAACATTCAGAGACAAACATCTTGAATATGTGAGGTTTGACCACTGAACATTTATGGCGTAATTCACAACAATCTGGGTTTTATATTTACAGTCTCCATTTCAATAATTTCAAAGTTTCGGTAAGAAAATTTAATAATGCAGCACAGAGAGGTTGTAGTGTGATGGTAGAATTGCCTTCGATGTTGAACGATATATTTCAATTTTCAAATTTCCAAATTGAAGCACCCATGTAGAGATGATATATATATTTTTATGCATGTATCGTGTGGGATATGAATTGAATTGGTTGAATTAATTTCTTTTTTCTCGTTGTTTTCCAATGGTTGGGTATATTATTCACTTGAGTGAATTCATGGTTATTTTGTTGTTATGTGGTAATGGGGTTGTGTATGGGGGAGAAATTATGTTCAATTAGTCTGTGAAAATTGATCTTAAAGGGTGGTGTATTTGATGAGAACAACTATATAACAAAAAAGAAAAAAAAAAAAAAAAATACAAATTACTTTGGGCAATAATCGTCGTCGTCGTTTGTCGGTGTTGCACTATAATCACTTCTGACATTAATTGAATGTCATTCCTGTACTAAAAATGATCAAATTTTTCTCCTATCATAAATGTCATGTATTTGTGGAATGATGATGATGATGATATATTCATTCATCATTTATATTCCATAACTATGGTTGTCTCTTCTTTGGTTTTGGTTTGATTTTATATATCGATAATAAGTTTGTTATCACTCAATTTTTACATCAGTAGTAGTGAGATAATTAATCATATCATATCATATGTTTTCAGACCGTATTGATAATTATTCATAATGATGATGATAGATGGCATCTAAATTCAATCATTTTTTGGTTTTCATTTCTAAAATAATGATGATGACATTTGATTGTCATCGAAACGGCTATGAATAATAGTGTTGAAACTTTGAATTTTTTGACGATTAGGTCCCTACAATAGCCTCCTTTTCTGTTTCTAAGATGATGATGATAATGATTGAGATGGTTTGATTCGGTCTAATGAATCTTTCAGCGAAATGATTGCTCATATATATCGTCTTTATGTCAAAGAGTTTCGTTGTTGTTTGTTCCACAACCACACCTCCATTATTTATTTTCGATGATGGTCTTTGATCTTTGTTTCCGTTTCAAAACGAAGACTTTTGATTTTCTGTGGAGAACAAAAGTGGACATGAAAATATTTTAATAAGTGAATTGTGTGTGTGTGTGTGTGTGTGTAGGAGGAATTGAATTGTGTGAAAGCATTGAAAGAATTTTCAGAAAATGTGTTTCTCTAGAAATATTCATTCAACACATACACACACACTTGTGGTGTTGTCTATAAGCAAACCATGACGATGATGGGCCACTTGAAAAATATGGTCTCAATTCATTCATTTTTTTGTGATGAAAATATGCTTACACTGTGTGCACAGTGGCATTTTCATTCATTGACCATTTATGATGATGATGAAAATTGTAGATTGTGTGTGGACAAGTAAAGATGATACTTTGACCTAACCATACACACATATAGAAAGAAAAAACCTCCAAAATGACATACAAGCACATGAATGATGATGATGATGTGTGTGTGTGTACGTTTATTATGTTTGTCGTTGTTATTTTTATTTGGTTCATCACTTTTTTTCTGTATTTGTTGATTCTTCGAAAGGAGAAAAAGAAACAATCACTGAAGAAAAGATACTGGCGCTGTTTGCTTGCCTTTTGTGTTGAGATTGTCAGTTCATAAGAACTTTGTTTCGTTCGTTTGTCATTTTTTCTGACATTTATTTTCACCATCATCACCACCATCATCATTATCAAACGTTCAGCAGCAATATATTTTTCTCGATTTGAGTATATTATTTGACATTTGGATCAATGGTATATAATTTTTTCGTTTTTTTGTTGCAGATAACATAATACCCTCGTTGATGGTGTCTGTTTGTGTGACACATATATTATGGGTGTCATTATCTTATTTTTTCGATATAAATGTGTAATATGTCGATGACCTAATCACAAGTTTGAAGATTTAAATTTTTTTTGTTGTTGTTAGTTTTACTGGTCGAGAAGAGATTAAATTCAAAAACAATCCTTGTGAGCTAGAGGCATTCACTTTTGTTATTTATATTAATTAGAAAATCTCATCTTGAAATGTTTTTCTTTTGTGGTTGATAATGATGATGATCCTCTTTTCTTTTGATCACAGGTTTTTTCGAGGGGATTTAAACGTTTTTCTTGTTGATTGTTTATATTTGTTTGTTTGTTTGTTTGGCGGCGGTGGTACGCGCCCAGAAAAATATATTCACATTACGAATTTTTATTACCCAAAACATCCTCATATGACTGATAATTATATGATATTAGATTCTTTCTCACTCTTTCTCGCAATGAATACCCAAAATCAAATCAAATTCATTTTCTCACTTGGAGAGAACGATGGAAAAGTAATCAAATTCAATGTATGCATATGGTGGTGGTGTATAATGATCATCGCCTTACTCTGGATATTTCTTTTGTTGATTCCATGTTGAATTTTGTTGTTCTTGAATTTCACATCTCTTTTTTGACTCTGTATGGTGTGTGCATTTGCAAAAAAAAAATAATTCCTGATTAGTTTGGGTAAAGATGTTTATAATATGAATCTCAAATAAATATAAAACTTGTACCACTCTTTCTGAAGTTTTTATGCAAAAATTCAGATCATTCAAAGAGAGAGCCTATAGGTGCTGATTTGTTTGCATGTCTTTCTGATTTTGTTTTTTGTAATTCTCGTGTGATCTTTTGTTTTTTAGAAGTAATTTTTTTGGTTGCCCATCATTTTAATAATCTTTTTCGTTGGAAAAAATACCTAGACAATAGGAAGAACGATTTTCTTTTTGTACGATATATAAAAAATATTAAGTTTAAACTTAAGATTGGTATTTAAATAATAATTTCAAAAGAAAAAGAATATTGCTTATGGTAATGATAATGTGAATTGTCCAATGATGATGATGATGCTTAGATTCAGTCGATGATGATTAATGTGTGCAAAATTCACTCTTGCAATTATGTTCTGTAGATGCCAATTTTAAATTTTGTGCGTGTGTCATAATGAGACTTGTTGACTTTTCTCAATTCAATTTTTGAAAAATTTTAATCCAACCAATTTAATTGCTGTTGTTTCATTTTATTTTCTTTATAATTTGTAGATACTGTCGGAAAAAATGTCCGATTTAATAACATCATATTATTGTTCTGGCATCCAGAATAGATCGTCGGAATCGGCATAACTTCAAGTTCAAGATTAGAATGATTATTCTATATGGAAACAGGCGAATCGAACATGCAAACAAGATCATTAATCCATCCGTCACCACCAACCACCACAAGTGCCAATAATTATTAACCATTGTTATTGTTATTTTTTACTTTTTCCAATTATCATTATTAATATATAGAGCGAATAAAAAATAATGTTTATAAAAACATTCAGTTCATCTTTTTTGACAAATTGCGAACTGAATTGAGTATATAAAACGATTAGTTGTTTAACGTGTTTTTTTCAAATTCAGATCATTAATTGAGATGTCTATTGAAAAAAATAATTTAACAAAACTAAAACTGATCTTGAATGATTCCGGTGCATTCGAATCACACACACACACATGTGCGTATTCTGCATATTTATTTGATGCTAAACACTGGAAAAAACTAGTTTTCTGGTTTTTTCTCTAATTTTTTCACTGAAAAATCAATTCGAATCTGAATGTGATCAACCAAAAAAACCATACAGGAAACTCGCATGAACACACACACTGATCGACTATAACAATTTTTATTTGGATGTTTCAAGTGATTGCAAAGAGAGTATCATTCTTTCATCATATTTAAGCATCACCCTGTGGATGAAACAAACAGAAATTTTTTTTTGTTTGCAAATTTCTTTAAGCCAGATTGGTGATTATAATTTTTTTTGCCTGGTTTGTGAATAAAAAAAAATTCGTTTTTTCTCGTTTCGTTTCATTTTCATTTTGTTTACATAGCTATAAACATAACATACACACATACACTGTGGGTTCCCTTTTTGGAAATCACTCACTCTGTGTGTCTGTGTGTCTGATGTTCTCTGTGTGTGTGTTTTTGTTACGAATCGTTTGAAATTGGTTAAAGAATTGAATTGAAAAAACCGAAAAAATTATTTTCAACAATTTATCTTCTATGATGATGATGGCGCAGCAACAACAACAACGACTGGCAATCGTCATTGTTGATCGAATTCATTTCAGTGGGTCTATTTTTAAAACCAATTGTGTTATCGATTGAGAGGAGGAAAGATGAATTTTCAAATGAACAATATGTTATATGTTATATGTTATTCTTATTATTAAAACAATTTAAACGAAAAGTTTCTTTTTATCGACTACACAAAAGTGTTCTTTGAAAGCAATAACCAATAAGTTTATCAATCAAGAGAATATCTATCTATCTACTAGTCTTCTACTAGTCTACTACTAGTTTAAAGTTAAAAAACAAAACAAACTTTAAATCAATCAATCAATACTATTCAATTCATCACATCACACACACATGTGGTGGTATATGCATACACACTGGACAATCATCATCATCATCACCACCCACACACATGTGTGTTTGATCGAAATACTCAATTGATTTTCAAACAGGAAAAACGGCAATCTGAGATGACTACGACCACTTGATTTTATTTATTTAAATTCCATTTGTAACAAGTACCTTGAACAAATAATTTGAACTGAATTTTCCTTTTCCTTGGTTTTCGACATAATGATTTGTTTTTCATTTCAGTTTACCATGAATTCATGATAATGGAGGTTTTTGTTCATGTTAATGATGATAATCTGGGAGCCGGTATCGGAGTATCAATCATTATCATCATCATTATCATTGATCTGATCTGGTCATCATTTAATGATGATCCAAATTAAATCACAGACAAACAAATCCTGAATTGTGATGATTTTTTTATACGAACAAAACATGATGAAATTATTTTATCGTTTTTTTTTCATTTCAAATTTTTTCTACACACAATGATTATTGTCGGTCACATTTTTTGTTTGTTTCGATTATCCATCGTCATGAACAGATCTTTGGCTTCTTAATGATCTTTATTTATTATAAGAACAGAATTCTCTTCTGTTTTTCTCTTTTCTTAATCGACAACAATTTCAAGCTTGAGAGCGAAAAAAGAGAGGGACAGAAAAGTGAATAATCGAAATGATAAACACGAGCCATATAATTTAAAGTCATTTTTTCAGGATAATGCAGAGAACATACACGAGCTTAAATGAATGGCGACGAAAATGTCATGAACAACACAACACAACAACAACAAATGATTGAGCATCGGAGAAAATGACTTTATTTTTTACCTACTATGGTAGAATGTGATTAGTTTTAGTATTAATAATTCAATTATAAATGGAACCAAAACAATGAAAATTCGCATTAATAACATTCATATATTGAAAAATTGGTTGATCAAACCAACTAAATGAATCGGAAGAAATTTTTTCCACTCGAAGTAATGACTAAAACAGAATGATCTTCATTTCACCAAACACTGAGAGCACCATGATCATGAATGTTGTTGCTGCCATTACCACCGCCACCATCATTATGTCATGCCACCAAAGTTAATTTAGACATTTTCTCAAAACAACAACCTATCGATCGACCGACCAACCAGTCAAATGATGTCGATGATCATCATCATCAGACAACGTTGTCGATATACGTATATAATTTCAATGACCTTAGCCTTAACCATCAGAGATAATAATAATTTTCAGATTTTTTTTCTTTGAACATCAAAGTTGTTGTTATATATCCGAATGAATTGAAATCGACTATCAATTGGTCTCCAAAATGAAAAACTTTCACTAACGTTAAAAAATCTCGTTTGGTTTTTTTTTTGTTTTGAATCAAATTAGGATAGAAGGAAGCCTGAAGAAATGAGTTTAAATGAATTTTCTTCATACATTCTGGATAAAAAGAAATCCCTCACCCCTCCAAAGGGATTGATCTAATTTTATAATTCATCGCTGTTGTAGATAATGACTTTTTCTCTTTACTTTGGTTAACTTAATAATCATCATTAGCATCAAACAAACAAACCAGCCACGTTTTTTCTGGACAAGATTATCATTATTGTTTGAACATTTTTCAACAACATCACGATGATCTAAACACACAACTAAGCAATTCGAGGTTATGTGGTTATGTTTATGTGTGTGATCATTCAGAAGGCTGCCAACCACATCACCATATTGTTGTTGTTTTGGCGGCGGTAATTTTTTAAAACCATAATCGAATTGTCATGCATAACCGAAAATCAAGAATAATTTCTCAATTTATCTATGGCCATCACTGAGTCGTTGTTGGTTTTTTTCGCTACAATCACATCATCATCGTCAATGATGGCCCAATAGAATTATCAAGTGATATTTTTTTCACGTTGTTGAAGGTCAATTATGTGGGTTCGATCGATCTTTTTTTTTTGTTCCTCTGAATTGATAATTCAACACAATGATGATGACAGACAGACAGTGCAGAAAATGCTATGTAATTGTTATTGTTCGTTTGTTATTTGAAATGAATGAATGAAAGAAGACTGGTGGTTACAAATTTCAGATGATAATAATATTGTCCAAATCATTTTTTGTTATTTCTACCCAATTCTGCCCATCGAAGCCTGATGGATGGAATGATATTTTTTTCTTCATTTCAATTTGAATTTTTTTTATTCCGTACATGATGATTAAATGGATCAAACAGCACTCAACATCACCATCTCAGTGGTGATGGTGATGATAATAAAAATGTTTTTTCATTGACCATCATCATCACAAGTCTCAAATGTGAGTATATAATATGGATACAGCATGTGTGTGTGTATTTTGAATTTGAGCAAATTGTTTTTTCTTTCTCTTTTTGCTCGATATCATGATTATTATAAAGATGATGATGATATGAAGATGTTTGCTATATGAATATTTGGTTGATTTTTTTTTTTATATTCTTTCTTTCACATACGAAAGAGAGAGAGATGGCCAAGATCCTGTCTGACTGGCATCTCTGGTGGTGGCATATCGATGATGATGATGAGATAGTTGGACCCTATGATTTCTTTAAAAGCTGAAAAATATTTCGACCTTTTGTAAAATGACCTGTCAAATTATAGTATTCCCCACAGAAAAAAATGATGACATAATCATCAATTTTTTCTTGGAAAAAAACCTATTGATCCAAGGGTTGAAGGGCAAAGAACCCTATGAACTCTAACAATGATCAGAGTGACCTTACTGGACTGAAACGAATGAATCAATGCAAATGCAGTGGAATTTGAATGGCGAAAAAAATAAAATAAAATTCAACATCTCTGAACTAAAAAAAAAGTTCAAGTGGCAATCAACTTATCACCATATTTTCTTCATCTTTGAATAGTTGTTATATGAAATGAAATTTGTTTCTTATTGTTATCGTCAAATTATTATGGTTTTTGTTGTTTCCAAAAGCACATGTTTTCAACTATGTTAATAGTTACACTTGACCAACGAACAAATTGATTCAATTTCAATGATGAAAATTGAATTCTTGTTTGAAATTTGAATTTTTTTTCGATTGATTTGATCACCCATAAATCATCATGTTTGTCATTGTACATTAATCGATAGTTTTTATTATTTTCAAAAAATGAAATGAATTGATTTGAATCTGACAAACAAACAAACAAATAAACAAACAACCAGTCAAAGTCACAATATGCACACAATATTAGTATATCATTTCCATTACCTCGACCATAAAACAAAATTCCTGGTGTTTTTACGAATCGGAATTTAATTTAATGTGAAATATATACGAATCCTCTGTTGTTGTTGTTTGTTCAATTTTTCGTGAGTTTGTTTTTTTCTATGGAAAAAATTTATAAATAAAAAATTGATGATAATAATGCTTGAAATAAAAACTGTTGAATGAAAAAGGAATGAACAAATTAATGACTTAATTCTCATTCTTCAAACACTGAAAAATCACCTGACCTTTCTGACCCTATGTGTGTCTATAATACCAAAGGAAAAATATCATCATCATCATCATCATTCTAGGTTCCAATGTTTTATGATTTTATGTTCTTTTTTTCCTCGAATGGTCATTCAACCACCGCCACCGCCACCACGACGATAAAGACGATGTGATCATTTACAATCACGGCCAATGATCATCATCACCAATCACCACCACCACCACCACCACCGCCGCCATCACCATGATCATAGGTGAGGAGGTGATCTTCGATATTACACATTGAAATAATGATATTTTGAACATGAACTTTTTTCTTTCATCAACTGACATTCATCTTCTTTTTCTTTGGTCCAAAGTGGAATACACACGAATACAACATACCTTGGGTTTATTTGTTTGTTAACTGTGAAATCATACACAACACACACACAC